GGAAAAGTATTTAAGGAGAAGTCATCAGACTCGTTTTGACCTCAGTGAAGTTACTTAACTGGACATAAATTTGTGACATTTTAACAAGCATATTAATGCAATTCTCGGGGAGTATGTTAAATGGCATTACACAGGTGTGTGTGTGTATTCATACTGGAGTCCTGTACCTGATACGGGTATCCATAATTTGTGGTTACTTCAAAACCTGGAGGACTTGGAAAACGGTCACGATGAAATATGATATAGGGGAAGGTTATGAAGAGCAGAACTTTTTTAGCAGAGAGCTTAAGGAGTAACTTTTCAGTGTAGAGGTACGTATGTGAAGATGAGCAGTCTCATAGTAGAAGCCTTTTCAGTCTAGCAAAGGTATTGTGAGATCCACCTAATGAAACTTGAAACTGTACACGTCCAGACTAGAAAGTACATATTTTTAACAGGGGTAATAAATAGTTATTGGAATGTCTTGCACAAAATTGTTAGGTTTCACCACTACTGCTTAAAAGGTTTTATTTCACTTTAAGAGGAAATAAATTGAATCCTATGTAATTTTTATATGAAGATCAGGTGAAGTATTCTTAATGGTTCCTTTGAACCTTAGTCTGCTACTCTATAAAGTTGGAAATGCCTGAGAATGGAACACATGATCACTTCATTGTTTTGGGATATATTTTTCAAATTCTTTGAAAATACATGCTTGTTTTGAGTCTCATGTCTCCTTGAATGCTGGATAGTACGTATACTTCAGGGTTATTTCTTAAGGAAGAAGGAAAATTGTGAGCTACACTGCCTTTATACCTTTTCAAGCCTTTTCACTGCATTCCACCAGGCAAATGAAACAAAAATCTTAAATGCTGGGCAACCAAGATTTGCTCATCTCACCCAAGGTGTTGTGTCAGCCAAATTCAGAGCCAGGCTTACAAAAACGAAATGCAAATATGCAGCAGTTAGCTACACGCAGAAACAGATACTACTTTGATATATATATATCAAATATATATATATAATATATATATAATATATATATATATATAAATACATATGAATATATTTATAAATACAATATATTTATATAAATATATATAAGTATATGTATGTATATATATATATATATATATATAAACATGTAATTGAAAATTTAGCAGCTAGTTATTAGGCTTTCTCTAAAATTCCATGCTATTTGTAACTTTATTCTGCTACACAGTTGAACTAAACGCTGAAGTGGGAGAGTGGTAAACAAATGCAGCTTTCACTGTACCTCAGCAATGTTGTTTTTTAAATTATATCATCATAAAGGAGAGCAGGTGTGGAAAATCTCTAGGAATTCCGAACAAGGAATTCCTTCTCTTTTGTTCCAGAGAAGATTGTAATACGATCATAGAATTGTATAAAGATACAAGCACCTGTGTGGCTAATTAGCACTCTTGTGTTGGATACACAAACACAACTGTTTGTTTTGAATATTCTTAAAAAGAGTGGCAAAATTTGTATAAAACTCTTATTCAGTCAAAATGTGGGATCATGTGATTATACTGAGTAGAGAAGAAACATGAATTGCAGCTGCTGTTATGGTAAACATTAACATGTGTTTATGTAGAATATATCTACATGAAAGAAAACTGATACCTTATTAAAATATTGATATGTCTAGCACTTGAGCACAGTATTCTTCTGAATAATTTGGGGAGGTGGGTTCACTCTGCTTACGATAGTGATGAGTCAAACTTGCTCAAAGGTTGTAGAAGTATAACTAACTATTAGCAAAATAAGTGGCATAGCTGCAACTATACGGTTTATTAATATTCAAGTTATCAAGCCCAAAGACCAGTTATATTTACACAAACTGTACCTATGCATTTTAACTGCCTAAATCACAATTGAAGCACACATTCTTGTTCTTATCTTACATTAAAGTAAAACTGTTTATTGTCGGAAGGTTGTCTAATACGCCCATTACATAGGAGTACAATGTATTTTCATGTGCATGTGAATGAAGGCACCCCTGACTTACATAATAAAATAAACCCAGTAATATTCTGAAGGTGTGGAATGAACTCTTATGACCCATGTATTCAGAGTTCTAGGTGGAGCCAATGATTACACAATCAGCTTTTATTGGATTTATGTTTACATAAATATCCTTAAAGATCTAGTGTAAGCAGCTTTTCTTTGTGATTTTAACATCAAGTGCTCAGTACATGTTGAAGGGATAATCAGGAAGCTCAATCTAATGGAGGAGTGAGAAGGCATTTTCTACAGGAAGATGTTCAGGATGTCAATTTTATGCCTCACTTACATCTGCATTGTTTGTATTTTGTTACAGTATTCTTTACTGAATCATTTATGTTTTGTGTCCTGACTTGAAACAACCTGAGTTGTAAGATCAAAGTCCAAGGAATTCTTTTTTTTTTTTTTCTTTGGAAGTGTGTTAATGAATGCATGTTCTCCATATCTGTGATCTAAGTAACAGGGTGGCCAGTTACTCTCAGTTGTTTAGTGTATTAATAATTTTGCATGGAATTTATATAATAGAGTGAATCTTACTGACAGAATTTGGATTGCTCACAGAATTTAGCTGGAGTTCTGAAACTTCAATTGTTGATGTTTACAACTTAAAAAAAAAAAAAAAAAAAGACTATTATACCATAAATTACAAGACATTGAGGTTCCTTTTTCTTCTTTTTGTTATTTTTTAAAGATGCATTATTACCTTACAGACTTCATAAACTGTGGCAGTAGTGCAATGGCACTTTATTTGTATATGGTATGTTATATTTGGAATAGTACTTGTATTCATCAGTGTGAAGACTAAGCATTTTTATACATTCTATGTGGTAATTTGGTGAGGAAGAAAACTTGATACTGGTGAGGAAAGAAAACTATAAGTGAAAGGAAGAATGAGAGAATGCAAAAAAAAAAAGTTTGTAGGTGATGAGAAAAAGGTTAAAAATACTTAGAAGACATAAGTAATTATATCTTATAGTGGATGTTGTCAGGAAATGTAAAGCATGTTTGGTACATGTGCTAATGGGATGCTCTGCTGTGCATGCTACGCTGATGAATTCAGGTAATGCAGGCTGCTGGTGACCCATCATTAGGTGGAAGTTGCAAAAGATGACCAAAGACTCTTTTTCTTTCTTTAAAGCAGTGTTTCTTTTTATCGGTTTTCAACCTTCCTTTCCAAATTTGCTGTTTTCTGTTCCTGTATTAAATAATGCTCTTCTGTTTGTAACTCATACAGTTGACAGCTAATTTAATTTCTAAGGGTTGTTTCTATGGACTGTTCAGTCATGAAGTGCTTTGGTAATGTAAATGCACATAAATGTGGATCATTAAAAATATACTGTTTCACGCACTTCATCTGTCAACTGGTTTGGTGCATAGTCTATCTTCTGTGAGACCACGAATTTCAGTCACAGAAGAAACTGTGATTGGACTTCATCAAGCACTGTCTGCTCTGTGTGTTGGTTAATTGACAGCACATTTTAATATAATAGCAGTATTTTCTTAAACATCTGTATAGTTTTATGTGAAATATAACATCCCTCACTTAGTTCTAAAATCATAGTGCTTTCTAGTGTGCAAAGCATTTAGTGTGAAATGATAGAAAGATGTTCGTTTTTATTGTAGTTCAGGCTGTGGTCTAGCTTTCTGCTAGCCCTGGTTAGATAAATGCATTTTCTAGAAACTAAATTCATGTGCCTAAAAATACATATGCAATCATTTTCAGTGAGACGTTTTAAGAACCTTAAGAAATGTTAAACAGGCAGAGTTTTCAGGTATTACAGTACAGTCATAAAACCTTTACATATCAGCATGAATTTCTAAATGCTAGGAATTCAATCAGCAGATTTTTTTCGTGTGTGTATATATATATATGTGAGAATGATTCAAATTTAGCTAGTATTGTTGGTATTTAATGCTTTTTAGTATTTTCTGTAATCTAATCAAATATTAAAAATAATTACTAAACTAAAAAAAAAGTACTTGGCATGCTGCTTCAAGTTTCCAGTATATATTTATAGGATATATATAATGAAGCAAAACTTTAGGTTCTGAAGTACTAATACTGTCAGTGATCTGTTTGTTAGTAGAAAGGACACATGTATCTGTTAGACAACTGTGTTATCGCTTTTTGCTGTCCAGAGCTCTAAGGAAGAAGATTATGTCAGTATTGCATTACTCACACATAGAAGGTGTGCACACGTAGACTCTAAATTGTATAGGAAATAACAGTTTTACTCCTTTGTCTTCGTCAAGAATATCAGCAGGAAAATTCCTTGAACTGTTTTCTGATCAGTAAACTAAGCATCAGTTGTAAGTTGATCTTGATCCCTCTTTTGTCTGCATGAGGTAGGTAGGAACTGCATCTTCAGCATACTTTTTTTTTTTTTGGAGGTGCACATACAACACTTGCTTGGTACATGGCAGTTCTCAGTACCCTGTGAATGTTTGTACATCTCAGCTAAGACAGAAACAAAAGATCTTAGAACAAAATGTTCAGGTTAAAGAAGAGGTAGGTTTGCTTGCTTTTAATTAAAAACAAAAGGGGGGGGGGAGTGGAAGCTATATTACAGTGAGATTCAAATACTAGCCTTTGTTCTTCAGGTTTCCGAACAAAATGGTAGTTCCTGTATTATTTTTAGCCTTAGTTTTCAGTGTTCTCACTTACTGCTTAGACCTTTCATGGTAACAATGGTCTGATGCTTTAATAATCTTTTGATAAAGAGGGGTGGGAATTGATCAGTGAAAAGGTGTCTAGTACATGATTGAGTTGATTGACCAATCTGATATATTTACATCTACATTATTGATTTCCATTTAATGTTTTAAACAAATTCGGCTTTAAGTGATGTAGCTGTATATGAGTGCCAGCTTGTTATTCATATACCAAGCTGAGTATGAGCTTACAATTAATTCCTGTTTGGGCATTCAAATCATTGTGCCTTTTTGGCTGTCCTTTTTGTTTGTTTGTTTGTTTGTTTTGTTTGTTCCTAATATAGGATGAAACAGGTGCCTATTTAATAGACAGAGACCCGACCTACTTTGGGCCAGTGCTGAACTATCTCAGACATGGGAAACTGGTTATTAACAAGGACCTAGCTGAGGAAGGTAGGATATTACAAAATCTCTTGTCGCTTTCTCATTACTCTCACTGCTTTGAAAGCCACCAAAAGTAATGTACCTGTAGATGGTAAATCTTAATCAGTGTAGCATTTCAATCTGTTTCAGACAAAGCTGATTGGTGCAGTTATAGTATTTGCTGCTACTGGAGTGTTTTAAGCATGATTCCTGGTTTCACAGCCCTTGCTCCCAGTTAGAAATAGAACATTTTGCCATGAGGGGAGATGCCTTTTATCATACAATCTTAGTGGGTTTTGTTTGTGTTTTTTTTTTCCCCCCTGTATAACTGTGTGAAATAGTTGTTTTCAGTCTTCTTCAAGCAGATGAATATTGGCTGCAAAATAAGCTTTTGAAGATGTAAAGCCAAGTACGAGTGAAGTTTTGAAATGTTCAGATATGTGGAATGTGCTGTTGAAGAGTAAATTCTGCCACTGGCTTCCTGGTCCCAATTCATATCAATTTTATTCTAATGGAGGATGACTGTTTTAGTACTAAAGCTGTGTTGATAAGATAGTGAACAAATTGATTGAAGAGAATGGAGTCTAAGTAAATTAGCAGGAAATAATTTGAACTAAGATTTCAATCTGTTTAGAGAACAGGTAAGATTTGAACATGTGAATTGTTGCAGTCTGTAGTATGCTACAGCAGTCAGAATCTTAAAGATGTTGTTCAGGGACTGAGGTCTCAAATGACAAGAAGAAAAATTTTCTGCACGCTGGTAATAAGAGAGATTTTCAGTGGGAGTATTTGGATTTTTCTTTAGTGTTCTAGAGACAGGGTTTGAGCTATGGTGGTCCATCAGACTGCTGTAGAATGGTATTTGTGATCCTATTCTTGTTTGTTTTTATTTCCTGCCTCTCGTTCTATGTATGAAATGGCATCATTTTTTTTCAGTTTGTTTTTAGGACAGTTTTTCAGAATGAGCTAGACCATGAGCTATATCTGTCTGAAGGAAGCCAGAACAGTTAGGCTGGTAAACAAATTGATCCTAGGGCAAAATAAATTGTTTTCTGTAGCAGAACAGGAGGTCTCAGGAACTGGATGGTGGTTTTGACCTGGAACCTTTGGTTACATGCTCTTTTCAAAAAATGTTCTCATACTAGGTGTACTGGAAGAGGCTGAATTCTACAATATCACATCACTAATAAAACTGGTAAAGGACAAAATAAGAGAAAGAGACAGCAAAATCTCACAGGTGAGGCTGTTTTCTAGTGTGTTTTTGATTATTTATGATACAGTAAGTAATTGGTGGTTCCTTTTTTTTTTTCCCCATGACTGCTCATTTCCCTGGTAAGATATTGGATAGCTGTACCCTTCACAAAAGGCACAAGCAAGCAGTTCTAGCTCTCGTTCAAAAACTAAAATTCTGTTGTTCAACAGTTGTTCAAAAATGTCTAGTTATAGTGGAATTTCTTTGTCAAAATATTTCTGGAAATAGCTATTTTAGAAAACATCTTGGCTAGCATTATTTTTCTCATACACATTTAAATGCTCTGAATATGAGATACATGATGACATGTGTAACTGCTGTTTATACAGTATACGTACAAATGTTGTTTGCTACAGAAGATTAAGATGGGAACTAAAGTTACTTTATTTGTGGTCCCCTATAGTTTTGGAGACCCTGCCTCTTCTCACATCAGCTCATGAATGTTTCTTCATAAAATGAATATCACAGAGAAACTGTTAAGTAAAGAGTATTCAAGTTTGCGATTGTTCTTTAACTCTGCTTCTCTGGCCTTCAGCTGAGTCTTCATAAAGACATTACAAACTTACTGTTGCCAAATTTGAAGCTGGGCTGTGGAATTAGCAGTATTTTCTGCAGGGTTTCACCTAATGTGGTCCTAGTTATTCATTGCTCTGGAGAAGTTAGTTTGACAGAGAAATATAGACATTTTTGAGTATGGTCAGACATCTGTTAAAGGTGGAATATTAGCCTTGATTTTGACTAATGTGGTTTGCTACGACATGGAACAATGTAGGAAGCTCATCTATTTATGGATAAGTCTTAAGATTATTATAACTCTTTTAAGTAGCACTTTCAGTCCCTGAAATATTCATGAAGCACTGAGTCTTCTGCAAGGTGACTCCGAGCAAATGAGAATTCTACAAAAAAATGGGTTGGTGCTTACTATTTCTAAAGAATAAGTCAAAGTTACAAAGATAGTGAATTCCATGCTGTATTGAGCATCTAATATTTCTTCCTAAAGGTGCCAGTCAAACACGTGTACAGGGTGCTGCAGTGCCAGGAAGAGGAACTCACTCAAATGGTCTCCACAATGTCTGATGGCTGGAAATTTGAACAGGTAACAAAAACGTATAGGATATAATTTCAAAGTCTTGGAAAAATTTAGTTCTGTGAAAGAGGAGTAGGAAGTCAATTCTGTGCATCTTTTTAAGTGCAATTGTTATCAGAAATTGGATTAATAAAAAGATACGTGATTAAATTGAAATCTCAGATTTGTTTTAATATTTGTCAGAGAACAAAAGTGCTGTAGCTGTCTGGGGGTTAAACTGATCTGACTTTCTGTAAAAACATACATCATGTTTGAAATGTAAATCTTTGAGGTCTACACAGCAGCAGGGTGAATAAACCAAAATAATCTAATGAAAGTTTATAGAAATGGTAGGGCAGACATTTGGTAAAAGAGATGAGCTTGAGAGGTAACTGTTAGTTAGGCCAAAGCAGTGGTTCTTCAGGTAAAGGACTGATACGTATAATAGGGAAAACTTAACCAGTGCAGATGGGAAGCTGGATGGGCATGAGCTATGTGTTTTCCATCTTTGCACTGCATAGAAGTAACTTTGAAAGTACATAAGTAAATTGGAAAACACAATGTGAAATTACAAAATGATTTTTCTTTTTCTCTTTGATGATCTTTGGGAATAAGAAACTACGTGCATGGCCTCTTCATCTTTTATATTCCTCTCCTACCAGAATATCTAAACTGGACAGAAGCAATGGTTCTGTTAACTCTGGAATGAGATCCAAGTGCTCAACCAACATCTTTTTCAGTGTCTGGTGCCAGCTGTAGGAGAGATTGGAATACAAGCACAAACTTTTTATCCCGTGCACTCTCCCCCTAATAATACAACAAAGGAACATTTTAAGAATACAGCACACAAAACTAAAAAAGAACGTTTTGTTTGTATTCAATAAAATGTGTAAGGCTCTTGTATCATAGAGAAAGCCGCCATGATCAAATAAACTAAACCAACACAGAGAAAGCTTCTTTTACTTCAGTTGTCCAGTTCAAGTATTAAAAGATCCGTTTGGTGTGCCAGAAACTCAGTATTAAGTCACTTGAAAAAGCTCTCACTAAATCCACATGGCTGGTTTTTGACCAGTGCGTTGACAAAGTTTTTTAGATATTCTTTGTCATGAGAAACTAGCTTTCACTACAAAACAGATATTCTTTTCTTTTTAACAAAATAAATGATGGTATATCTTTTAGCTGTCTTAAAATTCTGCGTTCTTTGTGAAAATTATATTTGGGAGTATTATTGCTTTGGCAGCGCAACTGCAGAAAGAACCATTATAATCTCTCTTAGAATTTATATTTTGGGAAAACTCCAGTGGTTTTCTTGAACGTTATGTCCTTCATTTCATCCAGCTTCCTTCCTACTTCGCTTTTGCCACATGCTGCTCTCTCTTGGACACACAGTTTGAAGTAGATAGACACAATAGCTGTATGGTCCCTTACTATTCAGCTTCTCCATTCCTCAGACCAGGTCCTTCTCTCCTTTGGTTTTATGACAGACCTGCTTTTAGTAGACATCTTTCACTTAGAACATAATTATAATACTCTGTATAATCCAAGCAGTTTTATTATGAAGATTTGAATGCACAGTAGCATTTCTGTAATGTATTTTTTCCTAAATAAATCTTTGTTGCTCGGCAGTGTACTTCCTTCCGAAGCACTCCTTGTAATGGCACCTACCATGTTATGTATATATTAACACTGATGGTATAGAGATCATCAGCTTTTTCAGAGGAGTAATATTGCTGTGGGTTGAGAGTCCCTGTGCTCTGTGCCCTATGTAACGTGTTTTAGCAGTTGTTTTTTTATTTCTACCTTTTTATCAAAATACAATTGGATGTGACAGATAGGAAAGTGTTAAACCACTGGTGCACTTATGAGTTATCAACTTAATGCATTGATGCACTTTTCTAAAGAAAGTGAATGAGTGCTGCTAGAAAAGCGCAATTATATATCAGTTTCATTCCAAAAAAAAAACTAGCATTAATAGTTGTGCTGCCCCACTTCCGTGATTTTAATGTGTTAGTCTGTGGATTATTTTTAGCTTCCATTGTTACCTCTTCAGGCAATCAGAAGAATAACATTTTGGCATTACTGCATAATGAGAAACTTTGGGCTATGTAACATTGCCACATACAAAGGCTTTAGACAACAACAGCATGTAAGTCATGTAAATTTTAATGATTAATGTAACCTGAGTCTGTCACCATAATGCTATCTTCAGTAGGTTCACTATATGAGAAGGACAGTAGTTAGCAGCTGCCTTCAAAATTATTCACGTAACAATTACAGGATAAATAAATTTACTGTACATGAGTCTTTTGTCAGTGCTGATTTCCAGTATACTGTGAATAGGAGGTTGTTGTCTAGTTCTTTGCACTTAATGTATAGCTCTCACCTTTCTCAAGTGCGCTGATGGGCCATGCTTTAAACGGGTTAGGAAGTGCCATGTATTATTAAGATAAAGTATTTTTTGTAATAAATTGTGAAATATTGCTGAGATTGTTATGAACTTGTGAATTTTTAGGCATTTAGCAATTGTGAACAGTGCTCATGGTACTAACCTTCATGGGAACGAGACAGTTTTTTACACTACGGTTCTTTTCTTGGGTCTTCTGTAAATTGGCTATTCTAAAACTAGTTTAGAATACTTATTTTTTTAATTTCTTTTTTCCTCTAGATGACTTCATATATTTCCTTAGCTATATTTTATTTAACAATTTTCAGAACAAGATGAAGTTCTTTAATGTACGGGCTTGGATATGTTGCTTTGCGTAACACCTTCCAGTCTTACATCCACGTTACTGTTTGCACTTGGCATGTATGACAGGAAAATGATTCTCTCGCTTTCATAATATGCCAAACTTTGTTTAGGTTTTTCAGAATAGTTGGTTACGCCACAATGATATGGAGAGTTTTCTAACTTATGATCAGTGACTCCTTTAACTTCCCTTGAAATATCAAACAGCTTTGCAACTGCCTCCATAACTTTTCAGTAAGTTAAAATTAAATTTCTAGCTTGGTAGCAACTTGTTCTAGGGGCAAGTAATTGTTACCTACACATTTGAGCTCATCTGTTATTTGTGTGATTTGGATAATGGTATTGCTTCAGCTTTACAAAGGTTTCTTTTTGTGTTTTGCTCTGATTGGTTATTTCAGCTTGTCAGTATAGGTTCCCAGTATGGCTGTGGCCGGGCCCAGCAGTCAGAGTATCTGCTGATAGTGTCACGGGAAGTGAAAGGGGAAGAGAGATGCTTCCAGAAATGCTGCAGTGAGGTGTGTCACACCGTTCTTTTTGCCCTCACACTGATATGCTTGGCCTCCTTGCGTTTTCTGCTGCTTTCAAATCATTCCACTTTATTCCTAGGTGTACAGCACATAGTAGTTTGTATGTATTTGTGACTGGCTTTTATTTATATTCACAGTATTTCATTGCACATTATGAATGTTCATATTGTTTAAAAAAAAAAGCAAACAAAAATTGTTTATTTAGACTTGAGTTAAAAGTTATTCTAAAGAAGAGTTCTTATTTTAATAGGTAACTTTTTTTTCCTTAAATCTTCCTCCAAAGTTAACAGCCTTTGGTCCATAGTTGTTAAGTAAAAGTTGTACATTTTAAATATCAGAAGCCCTGTAAATACAACTTGGTGTTCACTGATTTCAAAAGGGGCATTCTTCCAGTTCAAGTATATTTCACGTACCTAATAGCAAGTTAACTTTAGAGTCTTGCGTCCTTTATTTCTGGTATCTCAAAACATAATTGGTTATTAGGTGGATGAAACATATTCAAACAGTAAAAATTAAATTTTCAGAGATGAAAAATATGTAGGATTGAGGGGATAACAAAAGCAGCAGTTAGTTTTAAAACTTGTATCAAGGGGAAGAAATATCTTGAGGTTTTTTTTTGTTTGTTTGTTTGTTTGTTTTTGTTTTTTGTTTTTTGTTTTTGCTATTAGGCTGTCTCATCCTTTCTGCTCCCCTTGTTCCCAAGTCACTGCTCTTTTAATCACTGTGTTACTTTCCAGTGTTCAAGATCTTTTTGCTAGACAGTAATACCGGAGGCAGTTCCAAGTTCTCTACATAGCTGTGCTCTGTTTCATAGTGGGTTATGTGAATTGATTTAGGAACCTGGTATCCTTTAGTATTTTTCTCCAATAAAATACTTGGAGTTTTTGTTGTTTTCCTTGCTATATGTATGGTTATTCAGTCTGAAATATTAGTATAACAGCATGAAGATAATATGACAGACTTAAGAGCAGAACCTTGCCTATGATATGGACACTTATTCTTACAATTCTAGATTTTAAACTTGGATTGCTGCTGAAGTATATTCCAGAATCTATATTCAAGGTACTAAGCAATATCTGTTTCCTGGAGTTGCATAGGTAACATTTGGAATGTAGAATAATGTACAGACTTCCTGGAATTGGGTAGGAATATTGAGCGTAGCTAAGGATGCATAGGGTACAGGCAGCATGATGTTGTTCATGTGTTTGTTGTTGAGAACTCAAAGTAAAATTCACTGTAATAAAATAGGAGATGGGTGAAGGCAGTAGAGAAATTTAAGCAGATTTAAAATAAATAATAAAAAAAATATTAATAAAAGAATTTGGAAGGAAACCTTTCTTGCTGCTGGATTTGAAGTCTGAAAATTGATCAAGAGGTCTGAAATAAATACGCTTATTGTCCTAGAGTCATTCATCAGTGCTGACTTAAGGGCTGATGTGTATATATCTTTTTAGCCTTTTGCAAATAATTTGAGAAGGCAGTTGAGTGAACGTAGTAGAACTCAAAATGGAGTATGGGCCATTCATAGAACAAAATTTGTAAATAAATAAATAAATAGAGGGGAGGACTTCCTTTCATTCTATCAACTGTTAGTATTAAAAAAGTTTCCAAGACAAGCCTTCTAGTATACAAGCACTTCACCAAGTCTGAAATAGAAGCAGTAATACTCAAAGTAGAAGAATATTCAAAATAGAACTTGAGAATAATTGTGGTGTATTTTACTAAGCTTTGAGAATCAGACAACCACAGAGAGAAGGAAACTGGTGGTCATGAAAAAGAGTTAGTTAATATGAGTAAGAGAAAGGGAGGTAGGCAGTATGTTGCTTGTGCAAGTTGGAGTGTTTATATTTGATGGTGATACTATTGGTGATTTTGTCCTGTAAATCTGTTGTATAGATCTGAATCAATATTGTTAAACCAGGATAGACAGGTTATTGAAATACCACGTTTTGAGATCTGTCTCAATTCAGCGACGCGTGAGATTTGTTCACTTCAAAAATAATGTTCCTAAAAGTGATGCACCAACCATTTTACATTTCAGAGGGATATTTTTAGGTGTACAGTCATTAATTTAAGACAAGGAAAGACTTATATTTTCTGCTGTTATTGAATAACTTGATGCGGGAATGATTTGACCCATTCTTTCAGCTATGCCAGTTTTATCATAAGTTCTTCTTTAACTCTTTTCTCTTTGAAAACAAGCCTGACTGTGGGTAGGTATCGGGTAGTCTCTGTCCACCATTACTTATCACAGAATGGTTGAGGTGGGAAGGGACCTCTGGAGGTCATCTAGTGCAACTCGCTTGCTCAAGCAGGACCAACTAGAGCTGGTTGCCCAGGACCATGTTCAGATGGCTTTTGAATATCCTAAGGAGGGAGACACCTCTACACCTCTCTGGGCAACCTGCCAATGCTCAGTCATCTCCACAGCAAATAAGTGTTTCCTGATGTTTCGATGGAACTTCCTGCGTTTCAGTTTGTGTCCATTGTCTCTTGTCCTCATATTGGATGCTGCTTAAAAGAGCTTGGCTCCTTCCTCTTTGCAGCCTCTCATTTTTATTGGTAAGATCCCCTTGAGCCTTCCCTTCTCAAGGCTGAACAGTCCCAGCCCTCTTGGCCTTTCCTGCTAGGAGAGGTGCTCTGGTCCCTTCAGCATCTTTGTGGCCCTTCATTGAGCTCTCTCCAGGATTGCCATGCCTTTCTTGTACTGGGGTGACCAGAACAGGACACTGTATTCCAGGTTTGGCCTCACTATTGCTGAGGAGAGTGGAAAGATCACTTCCCTTGACACGCTGGCAATACGTCGCTTAACATGGCCTTTGCAGGAAGGGCACATAGCTGGCTCGTGTTCAGCTTGGTGTCCCCCAGGCCTTTTTGTGCAAAGATGCTTTCCAGCTAGGTCATCTGTCCAAGACCTGTCAGCTACCCCAAGCCCTTGTGGGTTAATTCCGTCAGGCCCCATGGACTTGTGTATGTCCAGTTTGCATAAGTATTTCGTGGCCTAATCCTTTTCCACCAAAGGCACGTCATCTTTTCCATGTTCGCTATCGGGACTGGGATTGCTGAAGGCCAGACTTGCTAGTGAAAACTGAGGCAAAGAAGGCATTTAGTACAGCGGCCTCCTCGCTGTCTTGTGTAACCAGGTACTCTATCTCATTCAGCAGCAGACTCATATTTTTCCCTACTCTTCCTTTTGTTGCCAGTATGCTTAGAGAAGCCCTTCTCGATGTCCTTGACATCCCTGGCCAGGCTCAATTCCTACAGGACTTTAGCTTTCCAAACTTCATCCTAGGATGCTCAAATAATGTCTCTGTATTCCTATCCTTGCTTACAACCTCTGTATGCTTCCATTTTCGCCTGATTTTGTGTTTTTTGGTGAAAGTATCTTTACCTTGCTCAGTAAAGTGGGTTCCATCTCTCCCAGGGAAATGCTGGTACACAAACAGGGTCCCATGGTCACAGAACCCAAAATGTTGTTTCCAACATCAATTCCGTAGCCAATTATTGACTTATGCTAGGGATGCCTTTCTTCTCACACCCTTTCACCTCTGGCGGTATTGAAGACAACACTACCTGGGCTCCCCTAATGTTGACTGTTGCCCACAGAGCTTTGTAGTCACTTTTCATACAGTCTTGATTTTCCCTTGGCAGTATCATTTATGCCCATGGGGAGTAAAAGCAGGGGGCAGTAGTCAGAGGGCTGGGTTAGCTGTGGTGTTCCCTCCACAATATCCTGGATCTGGGCCTCTGGCAGACAGCAAACCTCTGTAGTTGATAAGTCTGTCTGACAGATGGATGCCTCTGTTCTGTGTAGCAGGGAGTCACCCATTACGATGACTCACCATTTCTTCCTAGTGGCCTTGCATGGTTTAGGGTTAGGTGGACCAGATTCTTTGCTTGTAGGCACGTCTGGCTTCCCTTCAGCTTTTAGGGTGGTAAAACTGTTTTGCAGATGTATGCCCTTAGGTGGGGCAGGGGTTGTCCACTTGGTACCAGAAGTCATTAGCTTCCACCCTTCCCTTTCTCCAGAATTTTGCTAAACAATTTATGCCATTTTTTTTTCCTTTGACCTTTCTGATTGTCATCTTTTATTTTAAAATTCAGGCTTTATGACACAGAGACTTTCTTCTTGTTATTTCTATGTCTTCTCAGGAAAACCCGGACACATATTGGCACATCAGGCAACATAATACAAATAATTCTGCTTCTCTTGATTTATGGAAAAGAAAAATTACTTGCTCTCCATTTGTGACTTCGTTAATTACAGCTGACAGCCTAGTAGCATCAGGAACTTTAGTCCATGCAATCAATTAATGGATCACAATCAAATACATTTTCTGTGATATGTAATGTTTACATTTTCCTATGCTCAGTTACAGCATTGTTGGGACTCAACACATGGAAGGAAAAAAACCAATGAGGACAAATATATATACGTATACGTGTATGTGTATTTATATGCATCTAATAATCATACAGATCTGTGAAATTCATAGTTTAAGAATGTTTTTTCCTTCCTTAAGTTGTTGGTCATAAAAAAAACTTTATCTGCTGTTGACAAAAAAAAAAGTTTGTCCTTTCAGAAAACATGAGAAGCAGCAGGCTGAACAACCTGAAAATTCTCCTCCTATGCATTGTAATACATAGATGCAGTGATTTGCTGTGTTTGTGTTGTTTTGAGGGGGGAAGAAGGTGGAGGGGGACACAGAGGTTTAAGAACTCCTTCCAGTTTATCAGCATCCTTCTTAAAATGTTGCTGCCTACGCTGGGAACACTGAGATGACTTGCTACAATACTGCTTTATTTCTAAGCATACTTTCTGACACTACAATTCTAATCTGCTACCATTTTTTACTGTTTCTTTTTCTGCTATCTCCTTTATTGCTGTTCATGCATCTTGAAGTTAAGATGAAGTTTGTAGCATCCTATTGATAACTCCACAAATAATACATCATAGGCTGTGGATATGTAGAACTATTTACAAGAGTATAGTGCATTGAAGTTTTGAAGAACTTGTGTTTAACATTGCAAAAGAAACTTTGTCTTGAAATGCACCAACTATTTAATGTTGTCAAAAAGTCATCTATATTTATTGCAGTCAGCAACATCAATAGTTTTGTCCAGTGAGCTAATAAATAGTCAGTCTGACACATCTCCTGAAAAGACTTACATGCAAAAGGTCAACTAATTTGAATTATAAAGCATTAGTGGAGGATTTAAGTAGCTATCAACTGAGGAACTATCGACCAAGTTGAATCAGGATTGAACATTTGGCTAATGTTTGGATCTTGTAACATATCTTTCAGAGAGATCACTTATTACTGTTGTGTGTCAATGAGTAAAGAAGTATTATTTTCTTCTGGTAGGACAATTACTACAGCTGTTATAGTTTATCTAATATCAAGTTCTTTCTATTTTGCAAGACTATACTGAATCAAATCATATGCTTGAATTTTATTGTTCAAATTTCTCTTCAGAGAAGGTTAATTATGTATGTTTTTTTTAAACATGTTTCCAGCTTCTTGAATGTGTTCTGGTCTAAGTGGGTTAAAAATACTGTTTAAAATATTTCCACATTTTACCACAGTAATTGAAGTAGTTGCTGAGTTTGTATTATGTAGTTTGATATATAATGCATAGACTAAACTTCATACCACTTCAACAGGCTTAGAGCCAACTGAACAGCTTTTTTTTTTTTCTTCTAAAAATTGTTATCAATTATACTATCAAATGGTATTGCTCAGTCGGGTATGCAACAACTCCACATGACACTTCTACTTCCTGGCAGTTCTGCTTAAAGTGGGAAGGAGAATAACCTTCCTTTCAATTACTCTTCCTTCTCCCTCCTTAAAGAGAGGCCTTGAAGATAGTCGTGCAGTAGCTCTAAGCAGGACACAGTAGGAGCAGAAGATGAGCTTTGTAGAATGGGACATAACAGCTGTGATTAGGCATCCGTAATGCCATCCAGGTCTGGAAACTTTGATATTGCCTAAGCCTGGCATCAGGTTGTTTCCTTCTGCAGACATTCTGCTTGATGCTCTTTGTAGACACTAGCTCTTTCAGTCTGTAGATGTTCTTGCTTGGCTGTCTTACCAGAGTGCTGGAACATCTGAGTATCTCTCTTCTCTCTCCTTAAAAGTACAATTAGATTTTATTTTCTTATGACAGTGCATTATGGAAGCTGCTTTTTACCTTGATCTGCCTTCCACTTCTGTTGGGGAAATTGTCTTACCCCTCAAGTAGATTATGGACCAAGATTTCATCTTGGTTTCATCTTTCCTACTCTAACAAGTCTTTTACTTTCTCTGGTGGTCTGCTAGACTAATGGAAGTATGCTTCTTTTTAGACAAATAGCCATAGTTTTTCAAATGTTGCTGCTTTAAAACATAAGTCAGGCCTTTTCTGTGGAGCCATTACCAGGGCAATTTAATGATATAATAGAGACTGAGGAATAGGACAGCCTTATTACATGTTTGTGGTGGTTTGGTAGGTAGATGTAATATAGTTTCGGTAATGACAGTTAGATACAGTGTATCTGTGCAACAATTTGATTTTTTAGGTCCTTGAACTGTGTCAGTAATTACAGCACCATACATTATCTTGTCATGCTTTTGAAATAACTCTTTAAAAAAATGAACCAGCTACATCTGAATTGATTCTGTCTGGGAAAGGCAGGCTATGTAAAGCTAGCATTAGGTAAGTGTACCATGTGTAAGGTAAGACAAGATATATGAAACTAATGCCATTTGATAGACATGCTGCATATGAGGTAATACTGACATTGATTATATCCTTCCTTATCAGTAAATTGTCATTTATCATTCAGTATAAAGACCTGCAGGAGCTTGTAAATAGGTCACATTTCATTATACATGGCTTCCGCTTGTAGTGCTTCCTAAATTACACTTCCTCATAGCAGTACGCATGGATTTCAGATGTTAATCTTAGTGTCCCAACATGCTGTGTCTTGCTGTTTTCTGATTAAGGACAAATTTTGACTTTGTCTACTCAAAATATGTTCTGGTAGAAGTATTTTTATTCTGTAAATATAGTGGTAGGTATCCCTCCAGGCTAAAGTGCTTCCTGCATTCAGCCATTTACATACCAAGTCATAGCACGTTGAGATAACACACTCAAATGTTTTTAAAATTAACTTTGGAGGATGGGAAGGTTTCCATTAAATAGCAGGAACAGGGAACAGGCTGCATCTCCACTGGCCTGCCTTTGTACCCTTTTCTTTGACAGTATAATCATAACTGTAAACCATTAATTCTGTAAATGTTTAAAAAGAAAAGCTATGTTTATCTTATCATCAGATTGTCAGTGTATTTGTCAACATCAAAATGTATTTGCATTGAAGTAGAGAGTCATGCGTCAGGCACAGCCATCAGTCTGAAGAGTGAGGAGTGTTATTTCTCATGAGAATTTATGGGATTTGTTTTATATGGAAATGCAACTGACTTTTTCTTTTTTTTAGCTGGTCAGTATTGGTTCTTCCTATAACTATGGCAATGAAGATCAGGCTGAATTTCTGTGTGTTGTCTCGAAGGAATTGCATAACACTCCCTATGGCACAACCAGTGAGCCCAGTGAAAAAGCAAAGGTAAGTTACTAGACATCAGAGTAAAGAAATATTGTCAAAACAGGTAGACTTTTCTAAGTCATGCTAGGCCTACCTCTCTTCTGGACTTTTATTTAACTGCCTTTTCGCCCCCCTTCAAAACTGATAATGGTTCCCTGTTCATTGTATAAGAGAGTGTAAATGGTAAAGTCATCATGAATTTGTTATACTGGATGGCTTCTTTAAATGGAATATTCTGTATTGTTCCTGATACCTATCCTGTTTTTTGAGTATTCGCAGATACTTGCTGTTTACAGTTGAGTATCTACATTTTGTTTCTTACACGTTTTAATGACTCCTTATTCTTTAAATGATTCATTTGAAAAATGTTTTCCTTGCTTGAGTTCAGCTGAAGACATCTTACTGTCACGGATTTTAGAATGCTGTCTTTGAAAAACAGTGTGCAATATGTTGTAAAATGAAGATTTTTTTAGCCTATTATTTTCAGTTTCCATATAGTTCTCCTTCCTTTCTGTAACCCATTTTATAAAAAGACTGTAATGGGTACAGTATCTTAGCGTTTTCATCAATTGTCTTTCAGAGTATATACAAATGAAAGATGTAAAAACAACTGAGCAGTAATAAGGCAGACTAGTTATGTGTGTAAGCATATTCTATTGCTTTGTGTGAGGAAACTACTATAGGTAAACTGAGTGCTTTTGTAGTTTGCTTAAAAGCTTTTCATCTAGTATGTTTAAATGGGAAACAGTTGGTAGAACATCAGTGATTGCTTTCTCAAGAATCACCTTTAAAGTAATAGATCTTGAAATAATGCTAAAATGTGATGTGGGTCTTGGCACTGAGGCCCCAAATAAATAAAACTTCACTACTTCCTCTGTTGTGTAACTTAATTTAGCTGCTACCTCTATGAAGACGTTTTTTAAAATTACACTTTAAAAGTACTCCAGGCTTTTGTTTGGATGCTTTAGTGAAATGATTGATTTCTGCTAATTTGTTGCTGTTGAGATAAGATTTCCAAGGAGTTGTAAGGGATTAATGTCATCAAGGGTAAACAGTGAACCTGTGTAAGCCATGTCACATTCTTTCCTGAACCCTAATCATGGTCTGCTTTCACCAGAATGGTTAAGGAAAATTGAAAAGTTGACAAAGAGCGATGTGGCAATAGGCTGAGATACATTCCTTAAAAAAAAAAAAAAGTGGAATTCTTGAACCTGCTACACACATTCATAAGGAATAGTAGTACATCTTCAGGGAACTTCAGAAGTTGCCAGAGTTACATTGCATCCTTAGTTTAAGAGAAAATATGAATTTGACCAGGGCAATGAATGAGACTTACTGATAGTTTTTGGTTGGTGATATAAGCACTCATTCCTTGTTTTCTGGAAGAGTTGAGCTTTTGCTAGCAATAAATGGCAATGTCTGAAAATTGTTCTTGATACAGTGTGTTTCTGCTATATATTTTACAGGTATATGTTGCATTGGGACATGGGGGGAGGAATTCCTTTTAGTTTGAGAGGTTTCTGACAGCAGTGTGAGAAATTTGGACTGGTCTTTGGGAACTGTAGATCCAGCAGATCCCATCTGCAACCTGTTCATTAGTGTCTGAGTTGGTCTTCATGAAGTTTGCATGACTGAAATTATGGTATACAGTGACATATATGGAATGATACATTCACCTCCTAGGACTGTCTTCTAGAAACAATGAGAAAGTCTTCCTAACTATTACTTTTGCAGCAGATTGAGATACAGAAAGAAAAAAAGCACCAGTATGTAATTTTTATTGACGAGCACTTCGATTTTAAATTAATAGTACTGGACTTTCAAAATAGGAAAAAAGCATTCTCTGATACCCCATCTAATCCAACTTCACCTCATTCCTTCTTAGAGTCATTTTTCTTATGTTTTCTTGTTTGGAAAACAGTTTGCTTAGATAGCTTAGAAGAGTGAAATGGTTGCAATTAAAACTTTGAAATGTGGGACTCCAGTATAATCAGAATCTCTCATTGTTATTGGTCTATGCAGTCTTTATTGACTCTCAAACCTGTACACCACTTAACTGAACTATGTATTGGTGAAACTCAAATGTGGCAATACAAAGCATAACACACTATTTTGCTGATGTAAAGCATAGAAAGAATATAGTGACAAATAGCAGAAAATCTGCTGTGCTATGAAATATTAGTGGTGATCAGTCTTGTAGTGTATATTTTCCACAAAGCAATTTTAGCACTTCCGTGTCACTGGCGTTTTTAAGGAAAAAAAAAAAAAGAGCAGGTCAAAATTCACCAAAAAAATAAAACAAAAACTACAAACAAAACTATTTAACAGATAGTAAAGTACCAGTCTTTAAGTGTATTTAAGTGCCTGCCCTTCTTACTTAGTAGCTGATTTTTGCATAGCCTTTTAATATTCCTGAGAGAGGGAATGTAACCCCATTTGGAGCATTGACTTAAATTGTTGCATTGACTTTTACAGGAAGCCATGGCATTATTAAAAGATAGCCTGTGTTCCCACAAGCATTCTTCTTTTTCATACCACTTCATTTACCTGTCACTCTTGGAAGTAACGACCAAAGCCTGTTCATAAAATCTGCATTCAAAGTTAGGTTTTCAAGCGCTATCCTTCCCCATGTGTGCGGAACAGTAAGTGGAATAAAGATACCAACTCTGGTTTGTTTAAGCTTTCTCTATACCTAAGGTCCCTGTTACATTGCATGGCACTATTGGCTTCTATCTGCTAACTGTAGGATGTTTGGGAAAGGAAATTTTCATGAAATCTATCGTGTTCCTGCTTGAAATTGTCTGCTGCCATACTTTCTTACAAAAAGCAGGGATCCTGGATAAAAGTAAAAAAAAAAAAAAAAAATCACTCCCAGATGCTTCAAGTGTAAGTGGACTGTACTCTGTTGCAGCACTGACTCACCTGCAATCTTTTCTTTTCCTTTCCTTTCTCTATACTTGCTGCATGCTGCATGCCATTCAGAGTGAAGATGAAGAAACGGATTACGATATGAATGACTCAGATTAAGTGTAAATGTCATGGTGAGCACTAGCTGCCCTAGGATTTTACCCAGACGCTTTTCTGCCCCATCCAATTCCTGCCCCCACTAGTGCTGTCCTTTGGCTAGTCCTGGTGGTGTATTTGTTTGTGGTTATAGTTGTGGCATGGTTAGCAAAAACAGAATACATGTTCTGTATGTTGCTTCTTTGACAGAGTAATCAATGTTGCTGTTACCAGCTGTACTATGATCCATACCTTTAAAGTTATGCTGAGAAGAAAAGTGCTTCATATAGGTTCTAGGGGGAAATACTATAGGATCGAAATTGTTTTTGATTTATATTTTCCTTGCACCACCTTTTCTGTCAATTACTTTTTATGTGTAGGGGTGTCTCATACAAGCTTGGAGTATAAATTTTCAGCAAATGTCTGATGTGGTAATAAATTAACAAACTTAACTGAAGTGCAGTGTAATCAACAGATCTGATAATTTTGAAGTTAGTAATTTTTTAATCAAAACCTAGCAAATACAGGCACATGATGTAATCTTAGTGCTACAGTTGTCTTTACCACAGGAAACAACTGTCTCAACAGAAGGGTCAGGTCCTTTCTACTGCAGTTTGACATCTTATTGAAGATCAAGGTACTTTACAGGTCACATCAGGAATCCGTATGTATCAAAGATGCTTGTAATTGCATGAGACTGAGCTCCAGCATCTCATCTACACAGCTGAATATTTTAGCTGTAAAGCAGCCTTATACTTATCTCTGAAGTGTTGCTTCCACACGGCTGAAGAAGATACATTACAACTCGTTGAAACTAGGTAATCTTTAAGGTCCCTTCCAATACAAACCATTCTACTATTCTACGGTTATTATTTTTCCCGATGCTAACAGAAACTACTGCTGAGGTAGAATAAGGTCTTCTGGTAAGTCTTCTGGAATGGTTGCAAGGAATGGATCAAATCTGAAGCTTTATTGAAAAAAGTAAATTGATTCTTTGATGGAACTGAATGCAAGCTCTCAGCTGCCTGAGAGACAGAAAGTCTCTTAAGATGTTATTCTGTCTGCAGCAAATTTATTCTGAGCAGAAGGAACTACCACACTTGGGCCCTTAGGATGAGAGAATTTATTCAACATTGCTGAGAGTTTTTAAGTCAACTTTGGATCTGCTGCATCTGGATGAAAAACAATAGAAACACGAAAAGCAGGAAAATTCTGAAGACAACAGATCTAAAGTATAAGTTCAGAGGAACGTTATCCGTGAAGGTCTCTGTTTAGCTAATAGAGCGTGTTTTCACATGAAATCTTCTTCAGTGCCTGGTTCTGCTCAAGATATGTTCTACAATCCTAGCCACTGGCATTTAGTTACCTCTGTTAGTGTTGAGACATCTTCTCTCAGCATTCTTGCACAGGAAGTGACTAAAATTTTCAGGAAGTCTCATTAAAGTTTTATTTTCATGAAAAAAGGAGGAGTTTTGGATTGCAGAACAGAATTGGTCATTCTTTCGGTAATTAGTAATTCAAATTTTGATAGAATTCCTGATAATTGAAATTCAATGTTCTCTTTTCCTCTTTGGACAAAATCACTGTTCATGACTATAGAAGATCCTCTTTCACCCAATTTCTAAACAGAGGTGGATGGAACACTTCCCTTGAGAGCTTGCTGATGAGAAATCATTTCCTCTTTAGTAAAGTTAGGGGTTGCAGAAAAAGTACCAAGTAAAATGTGTTAAAATATTGCCTGAGCTGATGGAATTTCCTAACTCTCTTAATCTTAAAAGCATTTTTTATCGTGTAGGAAAGAATAAACTCAAATGTCCCATTTCAGATGGGAAACATTCACAAAATTAGTTGATCCAGTAATACTTTCTAACTGCACATGTGGTTATTTCAGCCATGTTTTTGCCTCTCTTGGCACTTATTTGCTACTTTTGATGGGTCAGACTGTTTATCCACAATGTGGACTTCTGCCCCAGTACCTTATTCTCTGCAGTGACTGACTCCAAATACTTGAGAAAAGAGACTAAGCATGAAGCATTTATCAGAATAGCTCATGATGTATTTCCCCAGCTTCTGGTAAGGAGCAGGTTAGAAATTTTGGCTTCAAGCCTGCATCCAGATCATTACGTGAAATTAGGTATCATTGGCACTACATTCTGTAAGTTTGTGTAATACCTTTTGAATGTACTAGCTACTGAGCAATTTTCAAGGCCTGTCTTTTCTGTGCAGAATGCACCTTTATCTTTCCGACATCTTAATGTGAAAAGTTTTTTGCTTAGTACACATAGTAGATTCCTCCTCAAGAAATAGGCAGTGTTTGCATTTAAAAAATACCTTAAAACGCGTTATAGCCCATCAGAGAATCCTTCTGTATTTTGGACATTTATCAAAGTACCTGCAGTGTCACTTCATTTCCTACCTCGTAAATAATAGTAAGTCTGACTTTGAAATGAAACAGAACTTTGTAACCAAAAAGTGAGATCCAGGTACTGCAGGCATTCCAGGGAGCAAGTGATAAAGTGGATTTTTTTTTTTTCTAAGTTAACCCTGAACTGTCTCTGAACTGTCCTTGAGAAGAGCATACAAATGGTGATGGAGTCTTTATGAACTCCAGTCCTTAAAAAAATCCCATGGCATTGTGCAAAGCAGGTGAGACCCTACTTGACTATAGCCTGTGTGAATGACTTTAGACTTAATGACTGATAAGAGGCTGATACGGTAAATTATCAACGTTTTAACAATACTAAAAGGAAACCAAATACCTAGACTTTTTCATTTAAAACCAAACATGAAATTGGCATGCTCTGTTAATTTTTGGTGTGACAGTTTTTACCCAACAGGCACAAAGATCGTGTGTACTGTCAAATTCAGTGAATCCTCTGGGGGTAGAATGTGCTACTGAGTGCTACTAGCATGAGGTGTTTGTCATAATATGAGATTAAATTGAAATCATCATAGAAAGAAACTCTACATTGAAGACAGCTATGCCATTTCCCAGGGACTGTGCCTTTGGTTTCTGCCAGGTTTTGAAGAGCTCTTCTCAGTACTTGGAAAACAACCAGGAAGTAAAAGAAAATGAATTAGAGATAATTTTATTTGCTGATAAAGTACTTGTGCTAAGTACATTTGAAGCTTTGCTTAGTCTTTTTTTGGCCATGGTCATCACTGGTTCTACCGTTTGCTTGCAGGCTTCCCTGTGGGTACACAAAAGCAGCTTCAGAGCTGATGTCATTACTGCTGATTGCAGTATTCAGTTTAGAGTAGAACTGTGAGAAACACAGTGGCCTGCACAGTCAGTCCTAAGACATGGATCCTTTCTTCACTGGAGGTGCTGAAGAAGGTTGAAAAGGGGAAAATAAAAAATCAAAATAGAATACATAGTCTTTGTGTTATAGGATGCTATATACAAGGTTTCCTAGGTTCTTCAGGGGCAGATAATTTGGTTTCATTAGACTTCATTCCCTATATTTAATATATACCTATTAAACAAGTCAACTGCCTTTAGGGGAAAACCAAATCATCTTATTCACTGTAATGGGAATCTCAGTTCCTTGGTAACAGTGGGAGAAGCAAATTCCTTAGACAAAATTTTTGAGAAATATATTCCTTCTCATGAAGTCAAAGGCTGCAACGCCTCTCAGCTGCCTGGCTTGGGTGATTCAAAGGATAATGATGGATAGGGTAGTGCATGAAAAGTGCAATGTGCTATGTCCTGTCTCTGCAGAAGCAATTTTCTTGTGGACTGGAAGGGATGCTTAACAAACTTGTGAGATCTACCATGAACAAATAATATTAATGTAAAATTATTTTAAAACTGTTGTCAAAGTAGGATTTACTGTCCTGTAGGCGGTGAGTCCAACTGATGAGCTTTGTATATCTGAACTCCACTGTAAAAAAAAAATTACTAAAACTTTTTACTATGAAGAAATCTTGTTGGCTGATTTTAGTTCATGCTAAAGATCAAGTCTGGACATCTATTTCAAATGTCAGGTTAGTTCTTGTCAACTCATACTGTTGGTCTTTGAAAGCTGTACGCATCATCTCACCCAGTATGACATTTGTGCGCATTTTAGGTTGCTAATTACGTTTTCAAGGAATACAATTGCAGCTGAAATTTGAGAGAGTTAAGGACATTTACTGCAATAGGAAAAATTTAAGATTAAATCCCAAGTTTTAAAATGTATCTGGTTCATTTACTATATGGGACTTAAGTATCTTTAGAACAAGGATGAAGTAAAATGGCTTACTACTTCTGTCTTCCAGCCCTTAAGCTTTGGTTATATTAATCAGACTCAGTTACTAGCAGTGATGTACATTAGTTTTCATGATGTTTGATAGTAAAACATTGTATGTATTAATCCTTCTTTTTCAATCTTAAAGCAAAAGCTTCAAGAATGTCCTTGAACCAGCTTCTTTAAAAATTACCTTTTTTTTTTTTTTTTTTTTGAAATAGTCGTTATGTTGTTCTTTGTCCTCCATTCTTTAAGAATGACATTCAGAGAATTTTCATTTATAAAACTGTTGGTCTCTTTCAGATTTTGCAAGAACGAGGTTCCAGGATGTGAAGACAGTATTGAACGGTGAAGATTTTTTCTCTTTTATTCCAAGATGCAGTGAATTGTCACATTGAAGAGGCTTGGCTGCAAAAGAAAAAATCTGATTTAGACAATTTTCTGTTGATCTGGGTTTCAACCATTTTTGCCTATAAGCTGGTGTCAACTGGCTGAAAGCATTGCAAGATTACTTAATGGGAATAGATGGTGTGGGAGGAGTGTGTTTTAAGTTTTGGTTGTAGTGCATGGTTATACTGTCTTATGGGCTGACTGACAAGGGCCATTTGAAAAGAAATGACCATGCACTTATATTTTCCTCTGAGACATGTAGCACTTAATGCTTGGTGCTGGATGACCCAATGTTGATCAGTTTGCAGAGATTTTCCTACTAATCATTGTAAACATTTAAAGGACAATGCAATTGGTGCTACACACACACGTTACAGCCCACAAATGCAAATATTTGGGCCTACTTTGTTTTCGAATCAGTGACAGCCCTAGTTGACTGTCTTCTACTGCACATTCCTTATGGCTCTGTGACATTCTATTTTGTAAGAACAGCCTAGGAGATCAACTGAAACTAGCATGTAAAAAGTTACACAACAGACAAAAGGTTTCTTTAAAGGAAGGTTGTATATATTGACTGTGGGTTTATGGCATATGTTAATACACAAAGGGAAGACTAAACTCTGAGAAAATGGCCTTCATCTGAGTAATTCTTGATGTTCTTTCTCTCAAATCAGTCTCCTCCTGCAAAAGTTATGCTCCAGTCTTAGCCAGATGTTTGGAAGGGGAATCAAAATTCACTTAAAATGAACAACTGAACTTTCTTTCTTTTGAGATATTTGTATTCAAATGTGTGTTTGTACTTTTAAAAATTCCTGTAAGTGTTGACCTCTATGGATTACAGTAGAGATTTTTCAAGAGCTGGAAGTTTTACAGAAATATGGTTGGTTAGTCCTAGATCCCTATCTCTGTGGCTGGGATTAAAAGCAACCTAGAGCGTGAACACAAGCTCATGCAATCGAAATACTTAATTACTTCATACATTCAAGATACCTGTAATCAATCTTTCTATACTGTTTCAACTATGCAGTTAAAGAACACCGTTTGAATACATCTGGTGCAGCTTTATTAGTTTATGTCCTTGATGAAGGCTAATACACAAGACTGGAGCTTTTTAATACACTATGTTTTGAGCAAAATCTTCCACACATCTTTAAAACACTTAATGATATTGACGGTATAAAACTCAGCTTCATTGACTTAATAGCTGAAAGCAGTGGAAGGGAGTTTCAAAAAGCTGTAAGATTGTTTTGAATTCTACAGACATTTGTTTTCATTCTCAGTAACATCAGAATTTATGCATATACTCTAGGTAATCCTTTACACAAAAGCCCCATTGTCAAACACCCAGGGTCTACCTTTATTTATTTTTTTTTTTTTTTTTTTCAAAAAAAAAAAATAATAATAATAATAAAAAAATTATACATTGATAAAGGTTTGGCAGGAACAATTTGTAAAAAAACATTTCTACTAAGCTGGTTAAACAGTGGGCTAAATGTTTTGTCCATGCGACTAATGCTTGAAAGGGTTTGTAATGCATTTTGCCACTTGGATGTGGTCTGCACTGGAAGCTGCTGGCCCCTCCACAACAACACATAAAATGTTTGTCTTTTTTTAAAATGTTAAAACTGAATTGAATTTACTAAAAATGTAATTGTGTAGGGAGCAATGTTTATACTTTTATACTTTTTTAGGCACCCATATTTTATCAGCTTAAATTTAACACCCAAGTTTCCCCTAAATAATAACAGATTATCTTATGTATCTGAATATAAGCATACCTATTGTCTGTGTTAAGTACATATTAAAACATTTCCTCTGCTGCAGTAGTCACTGTGTTTTTAAACAGCATGACTCCACCATATTCCCTGAGTTCTCTAGCTCATGGAATTGCAGCCAACTACTAGGTTTCTTGTTTTCTTGATGTGCTTTACAGAGCAACGCAGCATTGGCCTAATTGGATTCTAAAGCCCAAAATATCTGTGTAATGATCCTTCCAAATCTGTATTTCTGTTGTCTCTCTTATTTAACTCCTCCCAAAATGAGTATTTTTGTCTTATGAACTGAAATTTTCAAGAATGGCAGCAGCAAAGAATAAGTAACAAGCTGAGCAAAACCAGAACAAATTTAGAGTATGTAAGAGGGTGGTTTTTTTCTAAGTATGTTTTTTCCACTGGAGTTTTTTTCAGTTTAAAAACATGTTTTTATGGTGAGATTACCTGCTATCTAGTTTACATTGTATCCGTGTTGTAGCCAATTTGGGGGAAATGGGTGGTTAATCATTCTGCACTTTGTTTCCAATACCTCACACAGGTTTTAAACAAAACAACAAAAAAAGAGAGAACTTTAATAGGTACCTTGTAAATTATTTTATATATGCTATTGTTTGAGACCACCTAACTACCTACTTTTCCATTCTTGCTATTGTCATTGTTGCTTTAATTTTTGTAAACATCTGAGGCTTTGAGATAGTTGGAAGTGCAATTATATGCCTTTTTCAAGGCATTAAGAATCAATCCCTCAAAAAGTATGGTTTCTTTTTATTTGACTCTTGTAATGTCAAATGAAGTTAGCTATAGTAACAAGGTTGTTGTATTAGAGTCCAGTCTACATCAAGTTTTGCAAACATTGCTTCATATGTTAACATCTTGCAGGATGAGGTAATGTACTGATGTAGTTTAAACTGGAGTCCTTTGTGTCTTTGCTGTCATTTGGGGAGTATTTACCTCAAGCAACCTGCCTGTGATGATGTCAAAGTGATATGTACACTGAAGGATCTGTAGTTGAAAAGTTAAACTGCAAAAGCATGAGATGAACTATGGATTTTTACAGCTTATCTTTAAATCAAAACAGTACTCCAGGCTAGAATTTATAGAATCATTTCTATGATTCTATGAATTTAGGATCCTGAGCATAAAAAGATTATAGCGGAAGAAAGTAATGCAGGAAGGGAGAGGTACCAAAATAAACAGTCAATCAAGGTAAGCTCTCATGAAAAAATAAAATTCTACGGAAGGTTAAGCTTTCTACACCTTCACTATATGAATATTCAGTGAAGTAGTTTGGCATGTTGACCATGGAAAACGAGGTTACTTCAGTAGATTATTAGAGGATTTCTTAAATGTCTGTCATTTCTTAAATGCAAAACTTATGTAAAAACTGAAAAGTTCAAACTTACAGTAGCCATTTCTTTCTTAAAGTTAGGAAACAGATTGTTTGGACTTAAATTTAGACAAGTTATTTTTTTGTATGGGAGACAACTGTTTTCTGTGAAATACTTTTGGATTTCAGAAGGTGACAAATCAAGAGTTTATCTGCAATGAACATGTCATTCTGGAGCTGCTAAGATGTGAATGTCACCTGGTCCATAACTGTTCAAAAGTATAGTCTGACTCAGCTCCCACAGTAAATGAGAAATAGCTTTTTTAATTAAAGATTCAAGGTTACCTGGAATTTTCTCCTACTTATTATGGAGTTATTAAGGAGTCTGAATAATTGCAGTTTGTTATCTGTTAGTAACTTAATTGTGTGTCACAGGCTTGATTGTATTTAGAAGCTTATATTGATTGTCTACTGAACTTTCAGTCCTCAGAATCATATACTCAAAACATTTGAAAAAATGTTCTGTTTTTTTTTTTTTTTTCAAATTTAGCCAGGTGTCTTGTAATGATACCAGTTTCTTTCATCTTTCACCCTAGCTTTAGTAAAAGATATTTCTGAAAAAAAAAATGAGCTCAAGATTCCATCTAATTTCTTGTCTTCAGATTTTCTTCAGACAGTAGCTGTGTAGCTCCATTTCTAGTAATGTTTATGAACAGTCATGATTGATTAGAAATGGTATTATTTCCTGAAGATACCAGAATTGAATCAATCTCCTCCTTCTCTGAGAGAGTTTTTTTTTTTTTCAGGAGAAAAATGTAAATTTCTAGCAGATTAAACAAAAGTATATGCAAGTGTAGGCCTGTGCAGGGAACCAGTGTGTTGAGTGGGATGATGGTATTTTCAGAATTCTCAGAACAGAACACTGCATTCTCTGAACATCTGTTGAGGTTGTTGGAAGTTGTTGATCTCTTTTTGAAGCAGTATCACCAACAAATTAACACACTCATATTAATAACAAATTACCATTTTACTGGTATTATAAAAATGAACTTACAATGCAAAAATGCAGAAATGTGTGAATGAATGCAATTATATAGAAAATAGATTATAATGTGTACTGTCCAATCATTCAGGTATACTGGAGTACATTCCTTGAAAAGTAATGAGAGAACAGAAATACTGGGCTTTTCACGGAGATCAAAGTAAAGTGAAAAAAAGAGTCTGAAGATGAAGTGTGGCATTTTGTTCACTTAAAATGTGATAAAATCAGAAAGTGTCGTTCTCCTATTTTATTTGCTCTTTCCACATCAAAAATCTCTTTTAAGTTTTTCAAATTAATTTCTTAAATCAGCCATGAAAGGTGGGGCCCTTGAAAAAGACCTGGGATTTTGCTTTGCCTTTAACAGTACCTGCTAGCTCAGGACAGTGAAGTATCTTCTAACACAGACATTTTGAAATATTTAGTCTGAGGATGCTGTCTGTTTGCTTCATTGTAGTTTATACTGTAGTTATTTCTAGCTTTAAGTACGATCTCAGGAAATTACCTGGGTTTGCATGTAGGATTATTGATTCTTAAAATAGCAAAAATACTCCATTTAAAAATGTGGACACCTGTCTGAACTCAGTGTATTACAACTTCTCTTTTCTTTTGGTTCACAACAAGCAGTAGCTGTCTTTAAAGGCTTCTTACTAAACTGAAGCTTTAAAGGGCTAAATAGATCTTTTATTGCTCAGTTTGCCTAAGTGAAGGAACTCTTTTCAGTGCAGAAATGTTAAGGGCTAAAATACTTTCCAGGGCTAATCTGGGGTTCCAGGAAAAATGAATAAATAAATAAACTTCTAAAAACCAGATAGTTTTTTTTTTTTTCTTCTTCTAACAGATGCTACAATCATTTTTAGAAATTGCAGATACAAGTGTGTTCCTGTCTTGCTTGGCATTTCAATACGCAACTTGTTAAAGAGTAGAGCAGAGAAGACAGCACATTTGCGTACCACTTCATTATTGCCTATGTTGAAATTTAACAACTTTTGTGAATAGAACTGGCAATAGAGAGGCTTTGAGGAAAATTCTATGACAGGAAATTCTTGCTGAGTATTTCATTGCAACTTAGCAGTCCTTTACTTTTGCAAAGTCTACCAAGGCATAGTAACTACTATAATCAGAGAAAATTACTTCAAGTTATTTTGATCCTTTCGGGGTGGCTGTGGCAGGAGAAAGTTCTATAAGAGTATTCTCCTTGCTGTAGAAAGCTGAGCCTAAGTTTTGACTCAACTGGAAGTTGAGACTTCCAGGCCTGGTCATATGAAATGTAAGAGCTGATACATCTATGTACCTGATTCTTGCTCCTTGAAGATTTTCCAAAAGAGTATGCACAGTTTTACTGAAACTTAAGTTGGCCGATGTATACTTGCTAGGATGAAGCAAGTGCCAAGATGTTGTAAAAGAAGCATTGCCACACTGTCTACTTCGGACTGCACCAAGATCACCAAACCGAACAAGTATCAAATGGCAATTATTTGTACTCACTTTTGTAGTGAGCCTCATCTGAGCCTGGCTATGAAAAATCTGTAAATCTGTTTCCTATAGGCTGTCGTGGCCCACCTACCTAATTCATCAGGTTGCTTGTTTTGGTTTTGTTTGTTTGAAATTACTGGTCTCACAATTACCTGTCCATCAGCTGTGTTGCTGTCCAAGTGGCCATACTTCCAACATGTTATTTCCTGGATAGTGGATTAGCAATAACACTTCATTTTGTGCCAATTCATTATCTCTGAAGTGTTCTTACTGCAGCAGAGTTTGATTTTTTGATTTGGTTTTAATGCTTTTGCATTAGCCAAAACTCTTAGCACAGACATGGACAAAAAAAATGAATCCAAGGAGTTTCCCTGGATAAAAAAGAATCTGCCAGGGCTTCCCAAAACATCCGAAGTTTCTTACAGTTAGCCATCATTTTTAAAACAAAGATACAATTAAAATGTGTGTGGGTATTTTTTTAACCTCCTTTTCATAACACTAGCATATTGTAAACTGCATGAAATAAAATTGTTTTTTTCCCTTTTAAAGTCTGATGTCTTAAATCTTTCTTTTCTAAATCCATTAATGTTGACCGCATAAAATCACTGATGTGCCAGGTTTAATGCTTCAGATATAAAATACAGTTTCACATTTGCGCAGTGATTCAAAGCAGTAATACTTCTTCCTTTGTAAAGGAGATGCATCTTTTTCTGCTGCCTCAAAGACTTTACCACAAAAAAGCCATGTTTATTTGTATATTTATCCACTGGGAAATTAAGGTATTTTCCTTAGGGTTTACTCTGACTGTCACTGATCACTGTAGTAGGAAATTGTCCCCTCTGCTGTGGATATGTATCTACCACCACAAAGAAAAAAAAGAAGTGTAAAAAAGTGTCAAGTTCTAACTGATCAGTTTGTAAACATTTGCTTTCATACAGCTCACAAATCAGCCTACCTAGCATTGCAGATTTCTTGTAGAATCCAGTTTTTAATATAAATACTTTTGTATGGAAAGCTTATCAAATTGACACTTTGTAGTAAGGCCAACATACACTATGAAGTAAGAAATATAAGTCACTTTGTCAGCTCTAAAGTCTTACAGAGGCTGTACAATCAAGAATGAGGCAAATTTCATCATAATAGTTTTTAAATGTGAAGCATGTTCTAATCTTTCCTTTTATGTTGAGAAATTTTAGTGAAATGGTATCGTTTTACTAAAGTGATTTCCTGCATTTTAATTGTATTTGATTTTTATTAAAATAAATCCTAAGTACAAACTCTGGTAGGAATTAACTACTTAATATGATCATTATATATTTTTATCAGGCTTTGTTATAAAAGTATTTGCACTTTACAATTAAAAACACTACTTTCAATCAAAATTCCTACTGTGCATATCTGTAGTTTCTAGTGTCTTCACAAATTAGTGTAAATGAGAGCGCAAAAGGTGTAAGTGTGTACCAGATGCCAGTTAATAAGGGGGACGTAAAGTAGATCTTTCTCTTACACGTCACCTATGCCTTACATGTCCAAGTCAGTCATTAACATCCAGTTTGTATCCTCTATAATAATTGGAGTTTATTTGGCACTAGCTTTCATTTTAGTGGGATGTTTCATTTCAGGAAGATGAAAATGGCCATGCAAATTCATCTTTTAGTGTGCTTAAGTCTTGCCTGGCAGTAATAAACATAGTCCATATTTATGTGACATTATCTGAGGCTGCAGCCTGTACAATTTTAAGAGACAAATCCTGTGAGTGGTGTGTTAACAGTCTCCTCTAAAAATCATTGCTTTTGGTAATGTCACTGGAATCCTCAGGGTCTGCAATGAAATGTGATTTCTTCCACTATCTCCATTCAGATCAGTAATGACAATCTTCAGTAATGAGTTTTGAAGGATGCAAATTCAAGCAACTGAAAGGCTCTGAAAAGTGAATCTACTACAATACAGGAAATCTGCCAGCTACATCAAGGACCACACTACCAAAGCTGCATTTTAAATCTTTGGCTTTGAAGCATCCATACTGCAAGTGACAGGATACTTGGAAAGGTAAAGGGAAGAGTACATGTTTGTCCTGGTTTTACTGTGGATATTTGTGGCCAGTGGAGGAGAATCCAAGGGCTAAAAGAGTTTTGCCTCTTTCTGTACGCCTGATAGATGTGGGATTCCATGCTCAAATTCTCACTCCTCCTGGAACTGGGGGATTGAGTGATGTATAGCTGTTGTTTAGTATGTCTACAGAAGCTTTAGAAGCAGTTCTTCCTTTTTGTCTGCTGGCAATAACATCTCTTAAAAACATTGCCTAGCTAACATTTGAGATTTAAAACAAAGATCTGTGGCAGGCAAAACCCCTTACTTGGACAGCTCAATGTGGCTTTTTTTTGAGACCAACCTAGAAAGGTGAAAACCAGAAATACACACTTTTTCCATTCCTTCTATAGAGTTAAACATGAAATAAATGAGAGCATGAGCTTTATAAGAAAAAAAAAAAAAAAAGCTTGGAAGGGCTGTAACAGACTACTTGGCTTATCCTCTTGGCTAAACACAGGATTAAATATATTTTAAGCACGTATTTTAACCTACCTTTAAAACTCCAACCAATGAAGACTCCACACTCATCTTTCCATCAGGCAGTCTAGTGCCATAGCGACTTTGTCAGTAGCATTTTCTTAACACCTGATCCGCATTTTTCTCACTGCAGTTTAAACTGATGACATCTTGTCCCCTCCATTATGGATGTGAATAGTAGATTATTGCCTTACTCTCTGCTGTAGCCTTTCATTTTCTCAAAGACAAGTTAAATCTCTACATGGTGTGCGTGTCTGAAATGCTACAAAATGTCAAAAACAGCAACAACAAAAACCAATCAATTTCAAGTGAGAATTTTAAAAGCCAAGCAGAACAAAGTATACATAAATGTGTCCAGCAAGTTTATGTTAATTCTGCCAGCTTCAGGTGCCAGCTGCCACTGAATCCCAGTCACCCAGGGCTATGAAGAAACAGGCGTCCAACAGAAGTTTTAAGATGTCTAAGACAAAACGCTCGTGCAGCTGCCCATTCACAAGCTGGGATGATGGGCAAGGAGGTTCCTAACCTCAGCACAGATTTTCATTAGGACCAATTCAAATCCAAGAACTAATTAATTCTAGCGTTCCCCAGAACAGAAACCATTCTGATCCTAAAGGACTGCACGGGAGGTGCACAGCTCAGCACGTTACCAAACGCAGACCACTGCAAGGCATGGCTGAGAGGAAGTTTCAAGACAGAAATTTCTTAAGCTTGATCAAAATTTAACAAAAACAGTCAAGGACAGAACGTGATTCTTACCTGATAAGCTACCGCAAATGAATTCTTAGAAACAAACGAGCAAGGAAGCAAAACCACGCGGCACAAAGCGCGCTGCCCCTCAAAAGTCGGGTAAAGCAGATTTGGGACAAACGCGACTCAAGGCTGCGCTAGCGGTCACGGCCAGCGTCTGCGCTTTCCGACGCCACAGGGGCCCGGGAGCCGCGGCAGCCGCGGGGCCGTCCCCAGGGCGCGCTGCCCGCAGCACCGCTCCGCCGCGGCCCCCCGCCGCCCTGCTGGCGGCCCCGCCCGCCGGCCAGACGCGGCCCCGCCACGGCACCAGCTCCAGCGGGCGGGCAGCTCCGCCCCGCCCCCGCTCTCCCCATAGGCTTCCCGGCCTGCCCGTCACCGGGGCCGCTCCGCGACCCTCCAATCAGAGCCCCGGCCGAGCACAGTGGGCGGGGTCACGCCGGGCTCGAGCGTGTCCCGGGGCAGGCGCAGCCTGCCAGACCCGCCTCGGCTGCCTGCGCCAGACCGGACGGTTTTAGGGCACGGGTGGCTCTCGGCGCCTGAGGTAAAAACCCGCTCGGTTGCCCGACGGGGGCTCGTGGAAGCCGAGGGGCACGAGGAAGAGAGGGCTTGGGAGAGCCCCGCTGCTCTCCCCGCTCAGGCGTTGTTCCGGTAACCTCCGGGTCCTGTCTCACGAGGATGCGCAGAGCGCGGCGGACGGCTCGCAGGCAGGGTCACAGCGCGCCGGCGCAGCGGCACGGACGGGTCGGACGGAGGGACAAACCTCGCCGCTGCGCTCCGCACCGAGCAGAGAGGGAGGGAAACTCCGGACCAGAGACAAAGGGGGGGAGCCGAGTCGGGAACATCCGGGTCACTCGCTGCCGCCTCGATCCGGGACACGCGCGGGTGCCGCGGCCGATCACGGTGAGGCCTGGCCGGGCGAGGGGCCTGGGACGGCGGGGCCTGGCGCGGCGCGGAGGCGGCCGCGGGCCCTGGGGGAGCGCGGCCTGGGCGGGCGCTCCCCGCCTTCGGCGCAGCGGGCCGGGCAGCCGCGGGGCGTGCGGGCCGGGCGGCTCCTGTTGCGGCCGCGCGGCCGGGCCCGCCGGCGCATCGCTGCGAGCTCCGCGTCCCCCGCTGCCCTGCGGCCCGCTCGGGGAGGTCTCGGTCGCTCCGGGACGCGGCCAGCGAGGGGGCTCCAGGCACCACCGGGCCCGCGCGAGGCGGTCCCCGCCGCGACAGCCGCTTGCCCGGGAGCCCGCGGGCGGGCGCCGGGGTGCCCTGTGCAGGCCTCGGACGCTGCCCTGGCCTCCTTGGAGGGCTCGCGATAGCAGCGGCCCTCGGCAGGGGCAGGCGCCACTCGGCCCTGCCGCAGCTCCTCTGGGCGAAGTCCCCGGCCGGTCTGTTACCGAGCCGTCCTGCCGCGCGGCTCCTTTTGTTGTTCTTGCGCTTTTAGTAGCCGTTCGGACTAGTACCGCCTCTTTTATCTATTTCCCTGCGGCAGGCAGGAGGAGACTTTCTGTATCAGTCTAGAGCTGGTGGTGTGCTTTGATTAAGCTTCATCCTGTAGTTTCCTCGGCCCTTCTGAAGTTAAGGGTGTCCGGTTTGGGGCCAAACTGTTCCAATATAGGATTTCTTCCAGTGTCTGCGTGCAGTCGGTAAAGTGAAAATGAGAGGCTAGCAATCTTAATAATTTTTGTTTGTTTTGATAGAATAAGAACATATTCTTCGTTATCTAGGGACTTGTCAAAAGCCATACTCGTGGGTTGTTACAGGGGCACAGGAACACTGTTATGTACAAGACTTGCTTTTTCTGTTTAGACGTAAGTTCTCTTGCACACACGACCCCATATACACACCTGAAGATAGAGATGGCTTAGTGTTTTGGTTTTGTTTGCTTCTTTTTTCCAAAGCAAGTAGTAGTAAGAGCAGCAGAGGTAAGCTTCTGAGTAGACTTGGAAGTTTCTGGCAGTTTTCTAATGAGTTGATAGCAGTACGAGGAGCATTGCCACTTCTTAATCCTGGTGTGTGTGTGTGTGTGTGTGTGTGGAGGTGAGTAAAACCAAATGAAACGTGAAGAGCAGCCTCTTACATTTGTGTGGCAAGGTAGAGTTGATAAATTTCCTCTGGTTTAGACGTTCATATTCTTTCCAGTGATGTAGCTGTTCAGTATTCTGGGACTTCGGTTCAGCTTGTTCCGGGTAAATTTCTCACGTGAAGAAAAAAGAAAATCAGTTGTGATATTCTAAATTAAAGAAAACTAAGAGCCTTTAAAAAGATAAGTTTCTACAGATATTTGGGCAAACAATTCTTTCAAAGGGAAGAGGGGGGAAATGTACATAAGTAATTGAGGAAGATAACAGTGAGAATATCTTTGTGTTTAATAATTTAACACCCAGTTAGTACTGCACTCCTTCCAGCTACACCATAATTTGTGAGACCAAAAAATATATATAACAAGATGATCAAACTCTGTTTATCCTCTGTCACGCTACAGCAAGCAGAGCTGAAGTTTGCATAAGATATCTAGTTTTTTGTTTGTTTTTACTGAATTCCTGCTAGAGTGTATGTATTGACAACTCATTTTTGGATTGATTCACTTTAGAGGGGATTTTTAACTAGTGGGATCTCCATTTTTGAAATATCTCTGTTTTCTCTTGTACTTGGTAAGTTTGTGATGAGAGGCTTTAGATGCTTCTCTGCTCTTGTCAGGGTTAACTGATGCATGTGGAACTTTTTGAAGAGATTTGCCAGGCACTGACCTATTACATGTAAGATACATTGATATTTGTCAGAAAGAAGGTGACAAGCTCTATGACTAATAGTTTGCTCTTCCACATTGTTTTGTGCTGGCAGTTCTTTGCAGTCTTAGGGTAAGTAATTCAGGAGAAAAGCTGTGAAATTTAGTGAAATGACAAGATGACAAAACCTAGACTCACAATTCAGGATTTATTTTTAAAAGAAAAGAGAGGGTTAAAACCATATCATGTTTGCTTGCACAATGCAGACAATAAGTCTGTAGCATTCTCTATCCAACGATGATGATTCTAATTATTTTAGACCTTTTTAAGATGATGTAACAACAGTAGTGCAGAAGAGAGACCCCAGGTAGGCATTTCTCCATACTAAGTAGGATAAATATGTGCACTTGGAATCTAATCTGAAAACATAAATGCTTATCTCTGTCAAGCATCTCTTAAGATATCATAGTTAATCACATTTGAATCATTAATAGATTGTTCAGATTTGGACATTTAAGTCCAGAACTTTAAAGTCACAGGTTCCACTTGGTGTATAGTAATGCAAATGAGTCTGAAATTTTCTTCATCTAAAATATGCTGTATGTTACAGTTCATAAATCCTGCTGTTGAAGTATTTAGACTTGGAGCCAAAATGTTTCTTAATATTACCTGTAACTACTTAGCTAGGCTGCAAAATAAGAGCTCTGAACTATTTTTACATGCCTCTTTTCTCCCTCTTTCCCTCTCCATTCCTGTGTGAAATATATCCTGCTGTGAAATTGATAATTACAGTTAATTTCTTGTGCAACTTGGGGGGGGGGGGAGCGCGCAGAGAAATTTTCATTTCAACCAAGGAAATGAAAGGTAAACATTGAGAATGCAAAGGTACTACATTTGGGAAGGAAATGGTGTGTAAAACTCCCTCTTCAAGGGGTTTTACATCTTGAGGTACAGAAGAGTTAAAATAGCACACTTTATCTTTTTTGATTACAACAAAGCATTTACATATATAATCATTAAGGTTGGAAAAGATCTCCAAGGTCATCTGGTCCAACCATCCCCCTACCACCAATATCATCCACTAAACCATGTCCCGAAGTACCACATCAAACCATTCCTTAAACACCCCCCAAGGGCAGTGACTCTACCACCTCCCTGGGCAACTTGTTCCAATACCCAGATAGTCTTTCTGAGAAGAAATGTCTCCTGATTTCCAAACTGAACCTCTTCTGGTGCAACTTGGGCTATTTCCTCTTGTCCTATTGCTAAGTTATCTGTGAAAGGAATATACGCTGAAAAAAAAAGGTGTGTTGTCTGATCAGTGTTTAATTAAGTCAAATGCCTCAAGATTTTGAAGGGTCTTTTATAGAACAGAAGAAATCCTTAAATTTACCAGGGCATGATATAGTGCAGAACCAGTTGCAAAAACAAGCACGATACAGAGCTCAAACTCAGTTTCTTCTGCTGAAAAAATTAGTTTGCTGTTATTCTTTTGGACATAGATGGCTTGTGCCCTCTGAGAAGTTAGTATTTTCTCTCAGGTGTGTATCTAATTGTCTTTTAGTCACAGAAAAAACGATTTATTTATTTGAAAGCATCCTATAATATGTTTCCCTGCAGAAAAAGGTATCTGAGTTGCTAAACCGTCAAATATTTGAATGGCGTATAGGCACAACTGATTTTTTCATATTATTATAGTGAAGTTAGTACAGTGGATCAGAAGGTGCTAACAGTACAGCTGAAAATGTCGTGTACTTACTAGTTCATTTAGATTTGTTGTAAGGGTATGAGCTCATGCAATAAAATTACTCCCTTTAGAATTTGGCTGAGGGAAAAGTTTTTTGTTGTTGTTGTTTTGATGATCTCTCCAGTGACTCCATTTCTGCTTCTGAATGGAAGTGGTATGTACAGTTTTAGGGTTGACTAGGTTCCACAAATCTTCTGACAAGACCAAGATTCAGATGCATGTGTTGGGAATATTAGATGGAATGTAGTTTTTTTTTTTTTTTTTTTTTTTTTTTTTTTTTTTTTTTCCCTTGGTGCATGCTTACTGCATGGCCTGTTAATGGTCCTTTTTTTAAAAAGCTTTAATTTTAATTAAATTCTAGCAGAAATTACATTGCTAGCTGGAAGTTGAAATAATGGGTTATAGTCATCTAAGCAAAACTGACTTTGGGAAAGAAAAAAGTGGAAGGGAGGTGTTTCTTAAGGTCTTGTAGTTGAGGTGCTTGTGCTGCAATGCCACTCTTGATGATGTGTAAGTACTTACACTGGAAGCCTACTGTATTCTAATCTTCAAAGGGTATCACAGATGTGCATGAGTAGTTAAGTGTGAGATTTTAAAGCGAGGACCTTTTTGAACTACTGTTCGTATGGTCAAGAACTCTACATATGCAACAATCCTGTAGTATTAATAATTCTTAATCAGTGTTTCTATATTTGCTCTAACAGTGGTAATATTTCTTTCACTATTTCTGTGAGCTTGTTTAGTGGAAGGGGCACTACTCTTCTGGTGGTTGTATGAAGTCAGGCCAACTGTTCTAAAACTCTACACCTACCGATTATTAACTCTAAAACGGGTAGAAGTGCAGTAGGAAGGAGGATTAGAAACCTTCATTGGATTTTTTTTTGACCATGTGGAATCCTGCCCGAATTTGAGAGTGTCACTCTATTGCAATCATCATGTATAGAACTGTTCTTGTGTCATCTGTAGTAGTGACCTGTGCTATATGTATTTCTTCAGCAGTCTTGGTCACTGTTTGCTCAGCTGTAAAGAAGGCGGTGAAGATGCTCAAGGGTTATTCAGTTTATACAGGAGTTAAGGACCTGTCTTGAGGAATCAGTGAGCCACTGATTCTTCCCCAGTTGATTTCTGTCTTGCTGTCTATTGCTGCTGCTTTTTACAAATCATACAACATGTATGACACAACAGTAAAACCGAGGTGATGTTAATAAATACTGTGGCTTTTAGCAGGGGCTTGGTCTAAAATTGACATTTCTTATTCTCCTATTTGCGAGAATTAGGAACAGTGCAGGCGTTTGTCTACAGAAGAAAGCCATAACTTTGTGATATAGTAAGGAGGTAGTTATGTGTTTGTTAGTCACACGTAGGAAACGTGAGCCCTTTTCCCATTAATAATAATGTTACTGTTGTCAAGCTATTGTCAAAGTCATCTTGAAAACATGGTTCAAATATTATGCCTACCTTGTATTTTAAGCTCTGTCAGGTCCAGTAACTAAGAGGTTGTTGGGGGGGATGGGGGGTGGGGGTGTCAATATTATTCTCCATGTTAATATCTGCAGAATGTAGCAGAGACATTTTTGCACAGTACTGAGAATTGAAGGCCAAAGGAATTCCTGAGTGATCAGAGCTTTTAAAGAGAACATAATATGTTATTTACATTGTAAATAAAAGGTTATACTAAAAGCAATCATTTTTGTTTTAGAGGGACTCTAAATATGTCTGGCATAGCTCTCAGTAGACTTGCACAGGAGAGAAAAGCCTGGAGAAAAGATCATCCATTTGTAAGTATATATAAATTCTGTTAACTTTCTGACTATTGCTGCTGTTTTCATGTTATGATGATTTCTTTCCCTGACATGTTACTTTATTTTTTAAATAAGCTCCTTAAAACTACATTGTGCACAAAGGAATAACTTTGTGTAAGGAGCAAATGTGTCATAAAGTATTGTAAGTTTCTTCTGAAATTCTTTTTTTTTTTTTTTTTCCCTTGCCTTTTTTCAGGGATTTGTAGCAGTACCTACAAAAAATCCAGATGGCACAATGAATCTAATGAACTGGGAGTGTGCTATTCCAGGAAAGAAAGGGGTAAGACTTACTGTTGTCCTAATTTTTCGCTTATGCTGAAAACTCTCATAAGCCTGCTGGTATATTATGCTGAGGACTATAGGAATATAACTTAAACATAGTTTAATGTAAATGCGTGGATCATACTGTAGGACAAAATACACCATGAGCCTGTTCAGCTGTTGGCACTGTTCACCTTAAGAAACAGGATTCTTACACATTCCTCTCAAGAATTTGAGTGGAACACACTTGAGATAAACAATGGTGTAAACCCTAAAGCAATGATTGCTTCTGCTGGTTAACAGCCAGTACCTTTTTTGCCTGATAAATAGTGAGATTCTTCAGTCCTACAGAAGTGCTACACAGTAGCAGTTTTCAACTTCTTGAATTTCATGGAAAATAATAGTTGCTAGCGTGAAAACTAAATGTCTTCAGTTCTGTGTAGTCTTCCCATTTTATATTAGGGAAATAAGAATAGAATTTTCTAAAATAGTTTCTTTTGATCTGATTTCATTTGTGTTTCTCCTAAAAAAATAAATAGTCCTGGACTTTTTTCTTTGACCTTGTTATTTTAATCAGTTTGGTCTGGTTCTAGCAGATGAGACTAACACAAACCTTTATGTGGAGATAATTATTAATGCTTGAGGCTTTTTTGATTTGTATAGTACCAGTATAACTTAGTCTGAGCAGGATTTTGTTTCTCTTTTTTTTTTCTTTTTTTTTTTTTTTTTTTTTCACAAGTTATTTAGCAAGGAGACATTATTCTTGAATTCACTGGATGCATTTTGATCTTCTGGGATAATGCTTTTAATTACTTTCTTTTCATTCTTTTTGCATCTTTGGTGTCTTGCATTGGATATACGAGGACTGTTGCTTTGCCTGGTCTACTGCTACTTCTGGCTGGCTTGCTTATGTTCCCTTAAGATCTCCTTTCTTCGTTACCAAAACATGCAGATTCCATACTATTGCCTCAGTTAGTTTAATGCTGAACATGATATTACTGCTAAGGATATAACTTAGCTCAGTAAGTTGATAGATGTCTGCATAACACATCTGCTTTTTTGTTTGACTCTTGAAAAATGCCTAACTCAAGGTAGTTCTTGAAGTACCTAAAAATAAATAAATAAATAAATAAAACTTAGCAGTATAAGGAAAACCTCATTCCATTATGTTCTGCTAAAACAAGAGTATTCCTCATAGTGGATAGTTACGTACCTTATGTCACCTTTAAATACTTATGAAAGCTTATGGCATGAGAATTTTACATACTAATGTTTTGAAGCTTTGTAAACTGCAAAAAAGTAAACAAAACCCTTAAAACCAACTTCTTGCCTCCTAGGAAATGCTTTCCTTAGGAATGTATCAGTTAGATTCATGTAATTTCTGATAGGGATCTAATTTTAAAAAAATGGGTCTTTTACTCAAGTGAAAATGTCATTTCTTCAGCAAGAAGCAGTATACACTGCTCATCTCTACCAGGAAAAAAACAGTTGCTGTATATCGCCTTTCTGTTTGGAGGCACGCTGTACTGCAGCTGTTTCCCCTCAGACAATAGAATGGATGAAACCACCATTATGCTTTCTCATCAGCCAGATGAAAAATTGTGGGAAAGGAATTTGCAGGTGGCTTCGTGCTGTTTCACACGTCCCTGAATTAGAGATAATGAGGAAACAAGTGGTAGAAACAAAAACTTAAGCAAGGTTGAGATAAATTTTCTACAGTGTTAAAGATGAGCTTTGGGCAGTGGCCAGTTGCTGGCTGGCTGGATGCGCGTCTGAGGGTCTCTAACCAATTGTATGACAGATTTGGGCACATGGACAGCGTGTGGGGTTACGAGGAAAGTATATGTAGTAGTGAAAAAGGGCAAGAAATGTCTCCTGTACAAGAGCCATCAGGAGTGCGTGTCTTGCATCCCTTCAAAAAATTGTAGTGGTATTAGTGCTAGGTTGGAGATCTCCATTCACTCTCTTTTCTGACAGCAAATCACTTCTACCTAGAATCTGACTTGAAAATTATATGTGTAACTGGTCCAGTAATGCAGGAAGATCTAGATGATACTGCATGCCTACTGTTGTTATTTTAGTATGGCCTTTGAGTATCTGCTATCTTACAGCTGTAAGGTGTGTTGCTCTATGAGAAAGGCAGTCAACTTGTTTGTTGACTGTCTGTTCTTCTGTTGTAGTTGAACTGTTTGTTAAAAGCCACTTATCTTTTCTCAAGACTGATTGAGAGGGCTTTAAACTAGGATCGGTGGGGGAGGGGGATACCCCTGAGGGGCATACCACTGAGATTAAGCGAAGGGATAAAGCACTGTCTGAGGGTGGCATGGCTGATGGGAGTATCTCTGCTGCTCTGGGGAGCACTACAGGTTCAGGAGCACACCTGAAATGCTTTTATACCAACACATCAATATGAGGAACAAACAGGATGAACTGGAAGCTTTGGTCTTTTTCTGGAGTATATTGTTGGTATTAGTGGGACTTGATGGGATGTATCCCATGACTGGTGTGCTGGAATGGAGAGCTATTGGTTGTTACGGACGGATAGGCAGGGCAGGCAAGGTGGGTGTGTTGCGTTTGTAGTAGGGAAGGGATTAGGCCCTTTGTCTTCAGGGATGATTCCATAGAGAGGCTCTGGGTGATTATTAAGAGGACTTATAGCAAAGCAGATATTGTCATGGGTGTCTGTTTACCAAGGATGATGGCGCAAATGAGCTATTTTTTAGGCAGTTAGAGGAACATCTGGATTGGTTGCCCTCATCCGTATGGGACACTTCAACTTCCAATACATAAACTGGGAATGTCATATTACCATGACAAATAAGTCTGGAAAATTCCTGAAATATGCTAACGATGACTTCCTGTCACAAGTACTGCGGGAGCCAACTAGCCTTCCTGGATCTGTTGTTCAAGAATAGGAAAGGCCTTGTAGGAGATGTGTGGTAGATGGCTCGCTTGTACACAATGATCGTGAAATAGTTGAATTGAAAATTTTGGTATAAGAAGAAAAAAGGTCTGAAGAGTTGCCACCCTGGACTTTAAGAAAGGAAATTTTAAGCTTGTCAGGGAACTAATTTAACAGTGTCCCTTTGGAATTGGCTCTAGAATTTGGGGGTCCACGAGAGCTGGTTGCTTTTCAAGAACTACCTTTTATAGACTCCGGAATGGGCAGTCCCACTCTGCCACAAGATGAGTAAATGGGTCAGAAGACAAGCCTGGCCGAACAGGGAACTCTTCCTGGATCTTGGGCTAAAAAGTGACTAAAGTGACTAAGTGGGCTAAAATGTGACTTGGAAACAAGGTCTGGCTTCACAGGGAGAACACAGAGCTGCAGTTCACATCTGCAGGGAGAAAACAAGAAAAGCTAAAGCTCAGTGCTAGCCAGTGTGGTATCATACCACAAAAAAAAAAAAAAAAGTTCTTGAGTATGTCAACAGCAAGAAGAGGTTAAAAGTAAATGCTGGGTTCTGCACTTGAGATGGAGTAATGCTGGACAGGGGTACAAGCTGGGAGATGAGTGAAGAGAAGCTATGCAGAAAAGGGATCTGGGGGTGCTGATGGACAGCGGGCTCCACATAAATCAGCAGCATGCCCCGGCAGCCAAGAGGGCAAACTGCATGTTGGGGTGCATTAAGCACAGCATAGCCTGGTGGTCAGAAGAGGTGATTCTCCTATGTTTAGTGTTGGTGTGGCTTCACCTTGGGTATTGCATACAATTTCGGGCTCCACAGTATAAAAATGATACTGAGATACTTGAAAGCATCCAGAGGAGGGCAACAAAGCTGTTAAAAGGGCTGCGAGGAGAGTTTGAGAACACTTGGTTGTCTAGTCTGGAGAAAAGGAGGTTTAGAGACAACCTTGTTGCTCTCTGCAGCTTCCTGCGGAGGGGAGGTGCAGACCTCTTCTCCCTGGGAACTGGCAAGGACACATGGGAACGGCACAGAGCTGTGCCAGGGGAGCGTCAGACGTTAAAAAAAAATTCTTTGTCATGAGGGTGGTCAAACTGTGCAACAGGCTTCCTGGAGGGGTGGTTGTTGCCTCATGCTTGTCAGCATTCAGGAGGCATTTGGACGGTGCCCTCAATGTGCTTTAACTTTAGTTTAGCCCTGAAATGGTCGTGCAGGTGGATTTGACCTTTGTAGGTTTCTTCCAACTGAACTTGTCTGTTGTAAGACTGAAAGCAAACAAAATAAAAGTTTATCCTTTCTAGTCTTCTAAAAAACTGACAGGTTAGTCTCTTCTGAGAAGTTACAGAGACTAGATATTACCAGTTGATGACAACTGACTGTTCAGAACCATTTCTTTAAATATATCAAATGTAATCGAACCCATTCACTTCTAAAAACAGCTTCCTTAGTATTCTCTAACACAATTTTTTTTCACATTCTAACTCAAATCTTTACATTTTTGCTGTTACTTACTGTGCAGAGCTTTCCTTTTTTCTTCTCCAGGAAAAAGCATTTAATTCAGGTAGGGAAGAATTGGGTATTTCCTCCTAAGGTGGTCTTCAGTCATACCTGTCTGTACCTGAGGCTGAGATTTAATCATTTACTTTGATAAGATGCAAGACCATCTCGACTCCAGTTTGCCTGTTAAGAACAACCCAGCATGTACTTCCCTTTCAGTAATCCGATAGCAAGGGCAGTTCATGGAGAAATGGTCTGAATTTTACATCTATAAAGAACTTTTCTGTATATCTACACTTCTTACCAGAAATCAGTTTGTCAGTAAAGGGCTTTTCTCCTTTTTTTTTTTTTTTTTTTTTTCTTCAAGTAAGATGGCAAGGAGTGATATATTTGAGATGTGCTTTTTGTCTTTTCCTAGGTGTTTTTAGTTTCTTAGATGACCCTACTGAGTAGTGCTGTTTTACCTAGTCATCTGTGTAGCACAGGAATTGCTTTTTTCAAAGCTCTTGATTTCTGATAACTTCTTGGAACTTCAGAAAAATGTAATCTGCAAAGCTACATGCTACCAAATACAAGCAGATTAATTTAGACTAGTAAATCTCACCTTAATTGTAGCAATACTACAGTGCTCTCTATTGTTTTGCCCACATTTTGTTGAGCAAATATATTGGCAAAATAGAAGCCATTTTTATTCAGCTGCTTAAGGGGTATATACGTATCCTATCTTCTCAGACTTGGTTTAAGTGGGCATATAATGTCTCCCTTGTTACATGCATACAATTTAGAACTTTTAAATATTCTGTTTCTTACATGCTTTATACTTGTATATGGAATTCATTTTTTTATCAGATCTATTGGTGTCTTAGTACCACTTTGAGGCTGTGAAGAAGTGGAAAAGCTTTTTTTTTTTTTTTTTTTTAACTTGTTGTGTCAGTGGGATAACTCATGTCAGTGTAGGCAGCATACTATCATATGGGACAGTTGTTTTCCTCCAGTGTAGAAGAAAGTGTCTTATGTTTTGGCTCAGAAACCGTTTGACTTTTCTTTGCAGTAATCAAAACTCTACCTTAACTTCTTTTATAGACACCATGGGAAGGAGGCTTATTTAAACTACGGATGCTTTTCAAGGATGACTACCCTTCTTCACCCCCAAAATGTAAGAAAAATGACAATTGTATGCCAAGTAGAACCATATTAAGCTAGCCCATGAAGTTGTACGAATGGTTGTGATTTCTTTTGATTTTTTTTTTTCTTACTGACAATTTTTTGTTATTTTTCCCCCCTTATTCTCTGCTTTGCATTTAGAAAACTGTGACCAACTGAGCCAAGTGCTTGATATAACACCATCAAGAAGAGAGGGGGGAAGTACTGTTTGGGTTTCAAAATTTGACAAAAGCACCAATTGAAGTGTTCACTAGATCAACATTTTAGAAAGTAATAAGTAGGCATGGTTAGTCTAAATCCTTTGGGGGGGGATGTTTAGGCACTTTCTTGCTGTAAAGTTAGTCTTCTAAGCTGAGAACTCAGGGAAAAAATATTTCCCTGAACTATAACCTTTTCATCCGTTTGCTCTAAATATAGAGCAAACAGATCTGTTATTTTTCTAAGCTGATGTACAGTGGATACTCAGATGTTTTTCCTGTTAGGATAAGGAACCTTCTAAAACTTACCTCAAACTTGCGCATTTCAGAAATATGAAAACATTTCTTGCCTTGTCCAGTTTTTTGGTTCTTGATTTGGTTACCCTCTTAAATCAATGGAAATGCTTAAACATCTCTTTTTGACTGTCCTTCATTAGTGTTTCAGCTCTATCAGTCGTTTTGGCTACTTGGGTTTGTTGCCACCTAAATACAAGTGGACAAAAGAGGAAATACACATTTTAACTAGAAAATATTTAATTTGTGTGCAACTAGCATGCTCTGCAAGTGTTAAATGAATTGTCATGCCTTAAAATAATACGTATTTATGACTGGTAGGACTCATTACTAATGCTGCTTATGCATTCCTACTGAACTTCATTGAGCAGCTGATAAGCAAAACATATTTGTGATATAAGATGGATTAGAAAATTGCACTAAAATAATGTAATGAACACTTGCTTAGCAGTACATGAAATGTTAGCTGTTGCATTTAAGTTATGCATAGATTGAAGAAATGACAGATTAGAGATTGTCAGAAGGAAAACTGCACCTCCTCAGTTGGTCTTGCAACTTAGACTTGGTTCTTCTTGTTCAGTGCATGTTGGTTATACGTAAAGCGAAACTGGGGAAAAATATGCTAGAAACTTGTTCTTCTTTGTATGGAAAATGGTATCCTAAAGTGAGGGGGAAGTAGGTGAGTGAACAGCATTATCTTTTCTTTATACAACAATATATGTAGCTATAAATACAGGAAAGGTTTAACAAGCTCTTTGTGAAGCTACTACAGACTGTCAATTTTCATTTCTAAATGAAGATATTACTGGTCACAGTGATACAGTTAAAGTTTCTGGACTGATAACACAGTCATGATAGAGTACTTGATTTAGGTACAAGTGAGCCAAGAAGCAAACTGTATCAATAGCTCCAGAAATGTCAGGCTTTTTGGGTGGTGGGCGGGTGGGTGAGTTGGGGGGTATAGAAGGGGAACAGGGTCAGAGAGAAGTGTGTTTCTTTGGCCAGTTCTTTACACTGATGGTTTAAACCAACTGTCTGATAATAACCTTAGCTCTGCATGCAAGTAACTCTCTTTTTCTTCAGGTAAATTTGAGCCACCATTATTCCACCCAAACGTGTATCCTTCAGGCACAGTGTGTCTCTCCATCTTAGAGGAGGACAAGGACTGGAGGCCAGCAATCACAATTAAACAGGTCATTAATTGTACATATGTGTATACTTAACCTTCATACTTGCTCTGCCTGCTTATCTTACATGAATGTAAAATGTTCACTGTGTGTTTCTGTAGTTAGTTACTTTCTAACTTAGTAGAAACTTAGTAAGTCTGTAACTGTAGAAAGTAACTAGTAAGTCTGTAGTCCCTTTCTTCCAAGAGTGTTTTTTTTCCTGTGTGGTACATCTCTTATAATGTCTGTGCCTGCATTATATCTATACCTTCCTCCACAGATCTTGTTAGGCATACAAGAACTTCTAAATGAACCAAATATTCAAGACCCAGCTCAAGCAGAGGCTTACACAATTTACTGGTAAGTATCTTTGTGTGTCAGCTTGAAAGTTGCCATGTTACCTATAGCTGTCTATTGCTAATAGTATAACGTGCAGATGTTTACAGGAATGATCAAGGGATTTTTCTTGCCTGCATGAGTGTATCCTGCGGAGATGCATAGCTTATGCTAAGCTTAAGCAAAGCAGTAGCTTCACAGTTAATAGGCTAACAGGCCTTTTAATAGTATGACAACAGCACAAAAGCATGAAGACATTCAGTTGGACCATGACTTTCATCTTGGTTCTAGCCCAACATTAATTCCTTTACATTAAACGCTAACTGACGAGTAGTGGTGAAACATAATGATGTAATGAGACCGGTGATAGAGAGAAGGTTGAGTGGATTAGCTGACAAGTTCCATTGATCAGTACAGAAATAATTCATGCCTATCCAGCAATGTGTACCTATAAGCACTTGTGCCTGAAGGATGAAGAAGAGCTACTGTGATTGCTGTAAGGAACTTGTGGCATTTTGTGAAAATGAATGTTCAAAAAGAATAGTTTCAAAAAGTACAGAAAGCCTGTAGCCTTAGAATAAAAATTTGTGAACTAAAACCTACTCTTTTTAGACTAATCTTAAAATTTTCCTACCATTAAAAATGGATGACTGACTCATAATCTTTAAAAGAGCAACAAACTCTAAACAAATGCTTTTGGTACTGACAGCTACTGAAATAATGACCAATGGGAAAGCATGATTACCATTCTGGACAGAAGAACAAATCTTCAGAAGGGTGCCAAGTTTGGAAAAACAGCTTGCATATGTGAAGTCTCATAAAATATCATGTCAAAATCTTCTGTTACAGGACCCTAGTGAAAAGGAAGCATAGGGGTGGATAGTGTCTGCAGTTAATTACAGACTTCACTCAAGGTTATTCTTTAGGATCTACTGAAGACTGGATGGGACTGCATGCAGATGAAGGATGGATGGAAGGCTCCTTTGGGAGCAAGTAATGATGAGGCAGCCCCACCACTTTTTTTTCTCCTCTAGGAAAAGAAAGAATAGTCTGAGGAAATCTGGTACAGGAATAAGTATGCTTCCATAAAACTATGTATAGGCTATGTCTCATCTTTATACTTTCCTTCATGTATATATGTGAAGGAATCTCTGCTAGTCTTGTTTTTGCTTTATTACAGAGACTGCAGAGACAGGCTCTTGATTTTTACCTTGATGACTAGTTAGTGCTAATCAGTACTGTTTTAAGTGTGCAGTAGTTCACAGGAAATAAAGACCAGTTCCCGCGTGCATAAGCTTTAAGCTGACTTTGCTTTAAGTAGGGGGGAAAAAAAGATTGGGGCGGGTGGAAAGGTCATGTATAAGCTGCTGTTTGTTGTTGCACTAAGGCTCTCAGGATAGTAGTCAAGCACTGTGCTTCTCAACCTGTTTCTATACAAGCCACTCTCCAAAAGCAAGATCTGCTGAATGTGATAAAATAAAAATAATACAATTTTAAAACTTTTAATTCTGTAAGTGCTTCTAGGGAAAAAAATCTACATCTATTGAGAATAAATTCTTATGCATGCTTTGCAGTTTATTTCAGACGTGTACTCTCTGGTTTATCTTTTATTGTCATTGGACATGCATAGCATTTCAGCAGGTTGCTGTATTTCTGCAGCCCATAGTGTGACTCATTGCTACTTAATGAGAAATTGTTAAAAGCAATTTCTTTTTGTTAAAAGAAATTTGTTAACAAAGCAAAATTGTTTGCACATCTGTAATTTGGAATGGTGAAATACTGGGGAAGGTGCAGTGTTGTTCAAGTATGTCTTTTAGTCAAGTTGTCGAACTTCAAGAATAAACTGTGTACAAAATAATACTTAGACTTGTTCTCCTCAGGATTGCTTTGGTGCTGTTGTGCTGTAACTTCAGCACTCTTAATGAGCTAAGCTACCTCCTCCTCTCCAGTAGGCATGCAGTCTACTATGGAAGGCATTGTTTTGTTTGGATACTCTGAGTGGGAGACTTAAGATCTAGGCTGTGTTTTCATCTGACAGTGCAGTATAACGTAAAGAAAAAAAATGTAGAATGAAGCTTGTAAATTTGTGTATAAAAAGAAGATGCTGTATTTTCAGACATTGGCAAGCCTTTGTAGCTGAAAGCAGGTTAAGCTTTCACTGAAAGGCTGCCTGAAAAATCTAGTTGCTCTGAACTAACTTTGGCAAAAAAGTAATGATAACAATTTTTTGTTTAGCTCTTGGTTGGTGCTTTGGACAGCTAATACAAAGTATTTTGACAGCTAACACATAGCTGTCAGTATTGGGTGTTAAATGCAAGTGAATGATCTATTAAGTTGTTATCCTGTGTTGGCCTAAGTATGGAAAACAACAAAGTTGCCTTTTTTCTGTGTACACAATGAGGCTTTATTGTACATAGTTCCTTGAAGTAGTAACTGCTTGTTCAATCAATCTATAGTAATTATGCTACCTGTAGTGAACTGTGGTGCTTTTTTTCAAAATGTGGATTCCCCCCCCCCCCCCCCGCAAAGGTTAGGAAAAACTTAACCCTCTGAGTTGGAGTCTGCAGAGATAAAGGCTGAAACTGTCATTATCATTTTCCCCTTTCTTAAAAGACCAGCGCTTCCCTTCTCTCAAGATAGGTGAGATAAAGTTCAAAATCATATTCCATCAGCTGTTATTACATTGATCTCATCAACCAGTTTATCCTCTTGGAAAACTGGAATTTGTTAATGACCACAGGTGGAAACTATGTTGATGAGTAAGAATGCAGGTAAGGTATTGCTGACCACAAGAGAAAGCAGGCACAAACCTGATGCATACAGATAGTTCAATCTGTATTTCATCTGTTGCCAAATGATTGGTATGGCATGAAGTTTGTGCAGTAACTAGTTAAACAGAACCCGACTTCCCTCCAAATGAAATTGTTGGAGTAATGTTCCAGGAAAGTCTTTAATGTATATATTGTGGTCTTCAGTGAATTCCTATTTAATGCTTTTGTCTTCAGCAATGGCTTCATTTCACATTGAAATGAAATGGAAGAAAAGTAACTTTGCAATACAATCTCTGATTTCTCAAGCTTTAATTGCCCTTTCTCTTTCTTCTATTCAGCCAAAACAGAGTGGAATATGAAAAGAGGGTTCGAGCACAAGCCAAGAAGTTTGCACCATCATAAGCATCTGTCATGCAGCATCTTAAAAAGGAAGGGATTGGTTTGGCAAGAACTTGTTTACAAAACTTTTGCAAAATCTAATGTTGCTATGTACAATTAATATCCACTTAAGGGAGGGGGTTGTATGTGTGCCATTTTCCATATTCGCCACTTGTATACAGTTCTAAATTTGCTGAATTGCCCCCAGTTTTTTCATACAGGGTCTCTTCCTTCAGTCTTTTGTATTTTTGATTGTTATGTAAAACTTGCTTTTATTTTAATATTGATGTCAGTATTTCAACTGCTGTAAAATTATAAACTTTTATACTTCTATAAATTCACTAGTATCTTTAGTTACTTTGCTATCTGATGCAGGCATGCTTTAAAATGTTAGAACTATATTTAGCCTTTAGCTGGCTGTATGAGAAAAAAATCATGCCCTCCACCCCCTTCCCTCCCTGAATTTGTTTTTCTATCTTTCAGAAACTAGGTTGTTATTGCTTAAGAGCCTCTGAGATCCAAAGTCAGCCAGCATCCTTATTCTGCATCACTTCCTTTGTGTTTATATGGCGTTCTGTCTGTGTTGCTGTTTAGAGTAAATAAACTGTTTATATAAAGGGCTTTGTTTCATTATCTTCATTAAAATTAAGACTGCCATTTAAATGGCTGTGAACACAAATCGGTTTTTAAGGTCTGTGATGCTGTACTTCTCAGATGTTGCCCTCATTTTCTGCCTCCCTACCCCTGACACAAGTATGGTCTTGTCTTTGGGCCCTAAATCATGATTATTCACAGCTGTTCCACACACTAACAGTTCCTTAAACAGCATATAGAATTGTGTGACTTGCTAGACACCAATTGCATACTATACATGATGGGATTGACATACTGGTATAACCACTTTAATATAAAATATCAAGAGCATATTTTAACATGAACAATAATAGGAACTGTCCAGGGAACGTACAGGGACAAAGAGCATCTGGGGATTTTAAATACTTAATCATGAGAAATACCTCTGTGCCTTCTTCCATGTGTCAATGTATATAGGTTTTAGGAAAAGGATGTGCTCTATGCTATTAGTTTCCTTCTGTAAAGAAAATCAGTTAAATTATGTAAGTTATTTTTCATGTATGTTAAGTTGATATGCCCTCTATTAAACTTGACTCTTTTTTTTATTGTATTTTTAGTCGGAATAATTCTGGAAAAAAAAATGAAGTATGAAGAGCTTTGTTCCATCTGAGCTGTAGCTTTTTCAGTGCTTCTTTTATTAAAAACTGGTTACTACTAGAGACTCGAGTTACCTTAAGTGTGATACAGCCCTTCTTTTAGATCTGCTGTATTTGTCTGCATCTGATTGTGAGAGCTCTGTAAAATGACAGCGCTCCCTCGAATGAGAGTAGTTAGCACACTTGCATTATTCCTGGTCCTTTTAAAAAAAATTGATTGCTTCCTTTTTGCTATCTAGAAGTCCTTGTTGCAACATCTCATTTGGGAAACTGGGGTGGGAAAGTCGAGGAACTGCTAAAGGAAGAGATTCTGTGTTAGATTTATTGACTTGAACTTCTTTTTGAAGGGAAACAATATTTGTACTATTAAAACTGCTGACGTAACTCTGAGTTGTATCGTCCAGGAGAGCTAGAATTTCATCTGTAGTAACAGATGAAAATCTTGCTGTGGCTTGAAGAAGTTGCATATGCAAAGGTAATATGGACTGTCCTTAGTATATTCAATTCTGCTGAAGCATTCATGGAGTTTAGGTTTAAAATCTTAAACCTAAGATTAAGTTCCACTTGTGGTTCAGGATACTCAGAGTATTCTATTTAAATGTACAGAAACCAGGATACATCTGCTAACAGCTCCACTTTCACTATATAAATAAACAAGCATATGGAGAAGTGAACAAAGATACTAGTGCTAATTTGAGTCTCGTACTCAGATCTTTAAGGGTCAATGTACACTTGTGACTAAGAGCTATTTCAAGTAAGGCAAATGCAGTCAGATGGCATGTTCAACAATGCTATCTGAAATTTTACGGCAAATTTATGAATATGAAATGTTCAAGTGTATGTTGCTTGGGACTGCTTATAGCTGAGTAAATTAAAAACTAACAATGTTACTGAAAAGACATACTGAGGTTTTAAAACTATTTGAGGAAGCATTTTTCCTTTTAGGCGTTTTGTTTATCCTAAATATCCTAGATGAAGTAGTTGAAATGTATATAGCAGGCTTAAGCCTGCAAAAACAAGTAAGGTTTCTTAAGTGGTAGATGCTCAGAACAGGGCAACAACTTAGTTGTGTTTTCCAGCTAAGATATACTTCAGAAATTAGAACTGTTTTCTACAATGCATGAGTAGCTAGAAGTAATACCTCTAAATCACTCACCAGAACCATTCGTTATGAGTTTTTACTTATGTAACTAAGCTTTGCAACCTTAATGTAATCATTCCATAAACAATTACCTAAAAGTTAAATAACCTAAAAGCTTTATATGCATTATTCGATTTATAAGCCTATATGTAACCTGAGATTAGAAGCTCACCTAAACAAATGTGTTTGCTAAGTACCTACTTACAGATTAAAAAGTGTGGCGTTTGGACTGCACAACACCAGGGTTCTTTAATGATCAGTAACTGCTGCTACTTTATTATACATAGCTTCATTATCCATGTTGCCTCCCCATACTGAGGACAGGCTCCCTTCTTAGATTATTTGCCCCACAGCAGCCCTTTTCCACTAGTCATGAGTCAACAATGCAGCCTGGAAACCACCCAGCCAGCAAGTTCCATGCCTTAACAGCTGGCGAATAGGCAAACCAGAACGGCAAGGCATCTCCTGAATCACCCTTCTTTGTTCCCTCTAAACTCTTTACATTCCTGATGGCCTCATCGCTAAAAGCCCGATGTTACCACCAACCATAGGGCTTGTCGACTCCCATGGCCACACTCCCGCAAAGAAGTCGCAGGGTTAACAAGAAAATTTATTTATGTAAAATATTACACCTCTTTAGGACTGTTGGGGTGTTCTTACTATTAATATATTAACTTTTCAAATAGTTTTACTGGCTACTGTTGCAGAAACTTTCCAGTGCTATCTTCTTCGGGACTGCTCTCATTACTGCTCTCACTGATGTCATCTGGAGTGCTCACAATGTCGTCCTCAGATTCTTCATTACTTTCTTCTATTCTGGAAATGTTTTTCAGGATTATAAAAGTACAATTTCTGATAAGAAAATTAATGCTTAAATTAAACTTTATTACCCTGGGGAACTGATTGGTCTATTGGGATTAGAAAATTCTTTTCCTGAGTCAACATCAAATGGATCTGAAAAAAGAAAAGATGTATAGATAAAGCAGGCTTTTTATTTATTTTTGTGTGTGCTAAAACAAAACATTGACAGGGAGGGGCAGACATGCAGCCTGGCCAAAACCTGTTCCACATTCCAGTCTTCTTACTGCTAAGAGTTTCCCTTCCCAAGGAGTTGTAGTAGCTCTTGAGGGACAGTCAGACTGTGCACATAGGTTTTTAAGACTTTTGGTAAGAAAACATGCATGTTCTTGTAATTGTTTAATTCTAAAAAGGTTATCTAGTTAGTTCATGGCTACTGAAAGGTGAGGTCTAGCTCTTACTGCTGAGTAAAAGTAATGCTAGACTTACGTTGGTCTGCTCAGCTGGGGAGAACTGTTACAAGGCATGGCAGCTTTGATACTACATCCAGAAATACACTGGACTTTGTGGAAGTCTGCCTTATTCAGCATCATGATGTTGCCCCTTAACATCTGTCTTCAGTTTAATGTAACTGTAATTAGGCTTCCAGCAAACAGGACTACTTTATTCAACCTAGTTTGTCATAATGAAGAGACTGAAGTTGAGAGAAACTAGAGCCTGTCTGCCATGTCTTTACAGTAAGGTCCACTGTCCTATTTTTATTGGACGTAATACCTCTGAAACAGAAATTGTCTTCATATGCTCTCATACTGGCTTTGATACAGTCTTTTCTGTGCTGCCTTGAATAAGACCAAGCATTTGTCTGTGAATACAACCTAAAATACCAAGACACCGGTAAATTAATCTCCACTTATAAGGTACTTTCATTATCTATACAGATTTGCTTTTAAATATCTGTTATTGACTATATAAATATATCGATTAAAGGTTTTTCCTTTTCTAACTTGCTGTTAGACTGCATGCCTGTATTTCTCTTACAGGCCTGCTGAATTACTAGTCCTCTTTACTCATACTCTGCTTTTAGTTTTTGTAGATACAAGGAGGAAGATGCATAATATATTTTTACTCCTTAGTCCTCTAATATCCTTAGTTTAATTGAGGTACCTGTTCCATGGTTCAGCTAAATATTTAAATATACTACTATAGGTGTTAAATTGCTACAGTCTTTCATCTTTTTGGGTTGGAAAAAAATAAACTTGCTTATAAGAGAATACATATTATAAAGACAATGATGTATGTCAACAAAGCTCTTCTTTGCCAGTATTTGATGAGTTTGAAGGAAAAAATTGCAAGAAGACTCTTGAAGAAAAAGAGGAGGGAAAAGGGTTCTGCTTTTTTTTTTTTTTCCCCTTACCTATTTCTTCTCTTGTTTCCTGGACACTGGTTAAAAAATCCTTTTCAACCCCAAGCACTTCTTCCTGGCAATGACAAGCTGCATATTTTTCCAAGAGATTTTTGTTCAAGTCAAGAAATGCCTTCCCCCATTTAAATTTCCTTAGAAGAAGGGTGGCTAGGTCTGGAAATCCTTTAACAGAAAATAAATTATCAGTGTACTTCAGTGTGAGATTTCACTCAGCTTATTGATTTCTAAGTTTAGCACCTACCTACATATTGCTACAGGAATGAGATGTTTGCCAGCATTTTTTTAGTATTCAGGGATTCCAATTTTTAAAAATATTAATGTTTTTTTTTTTTTTTTTTTAATTTCAGTTTAACTTGAAATATTTAATTAAGGAAAAGTTAATAGCTGTTTTGTAAATCTTATATCAAAAATATTTTGTACAGGTAACATTTCAGGCTATAGCCCCCACGGTCCTTCAGTAAAAGAGCAATTGTACGTACCATATTTTCAGAAGGTAAGATCTGTCTGCAGTGTAGTAGAGGAAGTCTGTTCAGTTGTCAGGAAAGTTCTGTCATGAGTTTGCAAAACAACTGCAGAGTGGGCAATTTCTTTTATTGTTCTTAATCAGAATGCACCCAGTTAACAGCTTTAACCTCTCATGAAGACAGAGGTGACCAAGGAATCATGCTGTTTTCTCTAGCTTTTTTTTTTTTTTTTACAAGAATTTTTCTAACACTACGTATCACCTTGACAAAACCTGGATCATCAGTTCACGTATCCTCTTTAGTATATGACAAACTTCTCCCCAGAGATACCTCAATGGCTACCAAGTACAAGCACTTGAAAGAAAACTAGACAATTTATCTCATTATAAATTCAAGACCAAACTGATGATCACTGGGTCAGCATTACAGTTTATTCTATCGAAGATTATCTCCTCATTATATGAAGGACATGAGAATTTCTGGTACGTATTTTGCATTTAACACAAAGTAGCCTACCAGCAATGCAAAAAGCTGCTGCAAAAGCTTCCACACAAGATAGCTTGCA